TGCAGACCCTGACATTACATTCATGAAAAATGACATGACCCAATGCCAAGTGTCATTCTTCAGACTAACGACTGAATGGGTGAGACACGTCATATAAATATGCACAGAGAGTACCAGTGAAGGGTCAAATGGTAATGACTCAAATTTAACTATTTCATGAGGAAATGAACTCAAAAACAGTAGTAATTAAAAATTTCAAACAAGCATGTTTCAGATGACTTCGAAACAGTTGAACGATTTCTATGTGAATAGATTAAACTCTAATTCAGAAGTCAAACAACAAAAATCAGCGTTATATTCACAAAATTTTCACAGGACTAGTTTCGATGGTTTTACCGAACCATCATCTTCAGCTGCAAAACCGCAAATGAACAAGATAGGAAATAATGATTATATAAGATAAGAAAGCCTGGACAAGAATAAGCAAGTGGCGCCATCTGTTGGCGAAACCAGAACTAAAACATAATTTCTCTAAAAGCCGAAGGCAAATTTGGATTGGAATTAGGATCGTTAACTAGAACAGAAAGATTTTTATGAATGTGAAATGCCTCTAGAAAATCCAGTTCTCCAATGGAAGATGTTTTTGAATAATTTTGGCAGCAGAAAAATTGAAAGTGTGATTTTCGGACCAACAATGTTGAGCAACAGAAGACTTCTGTGTTTCCTTTTTTCTAACATATGCCTCATGTTCTTTGACGCGAAATTTTAAGGCTCTCTTAGTTTGACCAATGTAAATTAAACCCACACTGGCAAGGAATCCTATAAATACCCCAGGAATTCATATCCGGAATGGGGTCCTTGAGTATGGAAGTTGGAATTTTATTGATGGGAGAATAAACAACCCGAAAGTTAAATTTCTGCAAAATATGTGCAACTTTATAGCTAATTGATGGAAAGAAGGGAATGACAACAGAATTTTTATAATCTCCTAAAATAAGAGTGTGCCTTTTAGTGTGTTGAGATGACAATTTTTTAACTGCTTGATTTATAATGTTGGGTGAAAAGCCCCTGTCAATAGCTATTGCTTTTAAGTAATTTAGTTCTTCATCAAGGGCTAGTTTGGAGGAGCGAACTTGAAGAGCACGGAAAACATAGGAATAAAATGAAGCTAACTTTTGTTTAGTCGGATGACATGATTTAAAGTGTGGTGGAAGGCAAACCAATGAAGGTTTACGGTAAACTGTAGTACTGAAGTTGGATGTGTTACGTGTGACCAGAATGTCGAGAAACGGAAGAGAATTGCAAGTCTCAGGTTCAAAAGTGAACTGAATAGCAGGATCAATAGAATTCATTGTTGAAAGAACTTTATTTAAATCATCTTTATTACCTTCAAACAGGGTAAAAGTATCGTCTACGTAGCGGAACCATGCCGGGAAGTTTAAAGTTTCAACAATTTTGATTCATAATAATGCATGTAGATATCAGCCAGGATGGGACTGAGGGGGCTTCCCATGGCTAATCCCTCAGTTTGCTTGTAATATTTATTTTGGAAACCAAATGTGTTTGTTTCAAACAGAGTTGAGTGAGAGAAATTAGCTCATCAATTTCGATGCAAGAGAAATGAAATTCGCGAAGTCTGGTTTCTAGACATCTTAATGCACCCTCCACTGGGACATTGGTGAATAATGATTTTACATCAAAAGAAACCATGAGTAAATTACTAGGAGAAATGTTTTTAACCTTTTTTACAAACTCTATTGAATTTTTTATGGTGTAAATGTTATTGTCTAATAGAGTGGAAAATCTAGAAACTAAATATTTAGCTAATGGATACGAGGGCAGTACCTAAATTTGATACAATAGGGCGGAAAGGAATACCACTTTTATGAATTTTGGGAAGAGCATATAATCTGGCACAATTCGCAACAGATGGGATAAGTGAATGTTTTAAGTTGCTTGAAATGATTTGCGAAGATTTGATCGCAGTTTTTATTTTGGATAAGTCCGAAGGTGAAGGATCTTTAGGGATCGGATTATATGGTCCTTCGTTTAAGAGTTTAGTAACACCATCGATGTAAGTGTTCTTATCCATGACGACTATCTGGCCACCTTTGTCTGCCTTTGAAATGATAATATCCGGGTTAGAATGAATTTCGCGCATTGTAGCTCTTTCTCTCGCAGTTAGATTTGGTTTCAAAGGTTTATTATTGAATTTCACATTATGAGCGATAAGATGCCTAATCATTTCTTTTTGTGAATCTGAAACTTTACTGAACTTGAAAGCTTTTTCGATAGGAGCCAAAATCTTTGGAATCGAGGGTTTACAGGTTTGTGAGAAGTTAAAATTATATTTTAGAATTCTCTCTTGTTCTTCTGAAAGACTAACATTAGAAATATTAACTATTGGCTTGATGTTTACAATGGGAAGATTTTTTGAGCTACTTGAACTGGAAGACTGTAAAAAGAAGTTTTTCGAATTTAAGAACTGCAATTGGGTGTGTTTTTATGACGGTTAACTGCATTCTCCGTTCTAGACCAAGACTTTTGTTCAAGGGCAGTGAATTTTGGATATGATTTAGCGAGTTCCAGATGAAGCTTATAGAGTTCATGTTCAATTTTGGACAATTGTTGACGTGTATCCCTTATCACGGACCGAAGTAAAGCAAGCTTGCAATTTAACAGAATTCTTGAAACGCGACTCAAAGGTTTTTGATTAGATTTGATTTCAATAAAATTGGGGATCAATTTTTTACATTTACATTTAAGTAAAAAGTCAAGATGATTCAGGAATTTTTGCCGTTTCAGGCGTAATTTAGTGAAACGATTAACGGATGAAGGCATTATAAACAATGCAGAAAATCAAACTAAATTAACTGAGCATAAACTAATAGCATAAACATAATTTAATAGCATAAACATAATTAAATCTTGTCCAGGCTTTCTTATCTTATCTAATCATTATTTCCTATCTTGTTCATTTGCGGTTTTGCAGCTGAAGATGATGGTTTGGTAAAACCATCGAAACTAGTCCTGTGAAAATTTTGTGAATTAACGCTGATTTTTGTTGTTTGACTTCTGAATTAGTATTTATTCGGCGTGTTATTGTGTCTTAGATTAAACTCATTAACGGTGAAAATTTATCCCCAGAAAAAATTTATAATACTAATGAAATGGGTCTTTTCTGACAATACATGCCTGTAAAATCTTGACAAATTAGATTCAAAAGCAAGACTAATGATTGTGGCATGTGCAAATGCTATACAAACATACAAGTGTAAACTTCTTATAACTCGAAAAAAATTCCCTGCTCAAATAAACAATCATGGATGACATGAATTTTAATTAATGACTGCTCTAAGAATCATTTCGGATCCAAGATCCTGTAGTGTTTGAAATTGGTTGACAGCTGGTTATTGGTAAGAATTTTGTCAATAAATAGCATAAAAGTTTTATGTTTATTTCAGTTTTAGATTGCATTCTTTGCAGATAACAATCAGGACTAATGATGCTTAACATAAGTTCTCATTGTAATTTTTTTAAAGATTAAAATAAAATGTGTCATTTACATGCTTGAATTGAGTTCAACTTATAAATAGTTATGAAAGAGAACCAGGAAAAAAATGTTAATTTACTATATATCATGCAGAAGAATCATACACTAATCAAGTAGATTTAGGCATTGTTTTCGGTGATATGGTTTCTTATACATAACTTTAGTCTATCAGTGTCTTTCATATATAATACACACTCTCACTCAAGATGTTTCAAAGAACGATTCAAGCATTAAAATCTTGAGAAACCTTCTTCTCTTTTTTTCTCTAAAGAAGCCTCTTTAATATAGGTTTTCTGATGTAAGATTAATTGCAATTTAGAAAACCTGTATTATGGTACTGAAAAGCAATTAACAGCCCACAAATGTTATTTTATACAAATATGCTTTAGTTTACTGTCTAACAGAGAAACATAAAAAAAAAAAAAAAAAAAAAAAAAAAAAAAAAAACTTTTACATAGCATAATGATACTAATTAAATTTTCTAACATGAAAATTTTAAAATATTTTTATGAACAAGAACATCAACAATTTATGAAATGAATTTCTAATAATTTGAAATAAATAAAATGAATTTTATTGCATACAATGTAAGAAGTGTGATCAGAAACTACACAAGAAATTAAAAATTTCACTCTTTTTAACTTTATTTATTTTTGAAGAAAGTAAAATAAATTATTTCACATGATATTTATAGATTTTTCATTTATTTCATTCATTTTCTCAAAAACAAACACAAATAACATATCAGCACTACCAAATGCATAGAATATGCATTACAATAAAAATGCTACATATTAAAGTACAATAAAAAGCCTGACTGGCTGGTATTCTGTTAACCAGAAAGCTTCAAATAATCAGAATGATTATCTACTAATACAGCAGTCTATTCTTTCAGACTTGAGCAGGATTTCTGCCAACTTTTCTGTTTGACAAGGGTTTCATAATGAGATGTTTTATTTTTAAATAATTAAGGTTTACATTCACTTTTACGCATGAAATAATATCTTTTTTTTTTCCTTCTTTTTTCAAAATCTTGCATAAGTTTAAATGTAAGCTTTTGAACCGCATTTTTTATACACTCAACCAGAATTTTCAAGTATTCAATATTTTTCAAGCTTTCAAGAGAGTCAAAGCTTACTACAATACATCAATAAACATAAAACAGATACATAATATTTTAAATCCAATAAACTAACAGGAAAAATGAATATTATGGCATCTTCAAGTTTTATAACTTCCAATACTTTGATGTTAAAATCAAAGGCATAACTGTAACAAAATATCTTTTAAAGACACACAAATAAAAATGATCTGAATGTTACCTGTGATAAGATTTAATTTCTGAATTTTAGTATCCAGTTCTTATGGTATATTATATTTAATTTAAAAATATATACATTTGAATACAGTTTTAAACTTAATAATTAAGATAAGCCAAACACTAAAAATTTAAAAACAAGAAATTGGTTACTAGAATAGCACTTTATTAAAAATAGTTCAGATTTACCTTTTTGCATATGAGCAGTGTCTAAACAGTTTGAATCACCATACACTACTATTCGTCCAGCAGAAGTATGGTGAGAAGTCTGGTAAAGACCAAGTATTGGAACTTTAGAAACTCTATCTGCTTGACCTTTTAGAACTTCCATTCCTAAAAATATTCAGATATATCATAAAAGAAGAAAAATACTTCACAGAATACAGCCGAAAACTAGCAAGTACTTAATACAAAAAAAGTATTAAAAAGACAGATGATAATACTTTGTAAGCAGATTAAAAAATAATTTGAATAATTTTTATTATTCTAAAATAGACAGAAATTTTAATTGCTGTTTCCATTTATTGATTTTATAACATTTGGAAATATTTTCCTGAAAAATTAGTATATTTCTTAATCTTTTCTTTACCAGTTTTTATTACTAAAAAATGAGTGCCAGAAAATATGAAAGAGGCTGATTCATAAATTACATGTATAAAAGTAAATTTTGACATCTAAAACTCTCTAAAACCTTGTTGCTCAGTAATAACAATATTGTTGCTATAAAATATTTCCATACCTTTTGAATTTGCAAATGAACAGACCCTCAAAAAATCTTCACTGTACAATACTATTATCAAATTCTTTTTTCATAAATGATTTAAATACAGTCAAATTTTTCATAATTCAGAATAGAAGCTGCATAGATTTAATTTAAAGGAATAACACAGAATGGAAAATAGCATAAATTACTTCAGCACTGTTGCGAAATCCATCACAACAGAGAAAAAATTAAAATGTGCTTGACGACAAAACAGATCACATTCCAGTTACAAAATTCTCCCTGCCAAAATGCTTAACAAATACAGTAATTAAATAAATTCTTATTCTTTATCATGCATTCTTCTAGAAGTATTCTAAGTGGGCAATGTAACAAAATGATTAATTATTAGTTTTACAGGCTGACTCAATAAACCATAAAATTCATTCAAAAACTTGCTTACTTGCTTTTTACACACTCTTCTTCCAAAATGATGCAGAAAGCAAAACATTTCCACAAAAATGACATGTGGCTTTAAAAGTTTGAAACCTGATCTTTGCATTGTTAGAACCAGCATTTAAAATGAAAACACATAACAGAAAATATCAAGACTGAAAGTCATAAGAATTAAACAAGTGGAAAATCAACAAATATGTAGTTATATACTAATATAAAAGACATTCAGGATTATAATGCGAGAAAATAGTTCTCAAATGCGAGCCATCAGTTCAAACATGCTTAAAAATTCCAGAAAGTTTACATGATATGTCAATGAGACATATATTCAATTTTATATGAACACTGATTAGCCATGTAAGTTTTATTGCATGATTTAAAAAAACATACCCATTAATACTTATGTATAAAAAATTAATGTTACTGTTATGTATCAGATGCACAAGCATATGAATAAAAAAATTTTAAAAGATGAAAAATGTTTTCTCAAAATATGTAGTATAACTAAATTTAAATCATGAGACAAATTTAAGTTGCTGTTAAGTAATGACAATTACTCTTACATTATTTTAATTATGTAGTAAAAATAAAAATTACCTTGATTATTTAATGTTTGACTTACAACAAGACCATTTTTAGGAAATCGAGCTAAACTTGTTCCAGAAGCATAATACACTAAAAAAAAAAAAAAAAAAAAAAAAAAAGTAAATGTCACAATTTTTTTTTTTTCAATAACAATAAAAATAATGCAGTTTTTATGTAAAAGTAACTGTAAATTAAGTACATAACTTTGTTTGCTAATTACTTAAATGCAATGGATCTGAAAGTAGCATTTTATATAAAAATATAATTTAAATTTTATGCACAGCACTACATACAGTTTTGCTTAATATCCTATTTATTTCTTTAAACAAGAAATAATTAGTCATTACGGCTATGCTTACGCATTTGGCAGAGATCTTTCATCACTAAAATTTTTTCTGATGCAAATTATGGACTGATCTTGTTGATCTGATATAAACTAAAGGCTTATTATTAATAAATTATGCCAGTACACTTGGCCGATATTCTCCCAGAATTGTTCTGTTGATGAAGAAGTCCTTAAACTGCAACAATACTTTAAGAACTGATTGTTATAAAACTAATAAAAAGTGAAATAGTATATTCCAGCGTATACTGCACACCTGTAATTTCAACCTACAATTATTAATTTTTAGGTATATTCATCGTATGATGCACATCCTTTTCTTTATGAAGAAATCTGAAAGTTACATATTTAATGCTTTTATCTTTTGAAATTATACATTCAAATATTTTTCCCACACATTTGAACAATGGTATACTGAACAGAGAAGTGATAAAGGGAACAATGCTTGTGTTGGACGAAATGCTTGAGGAAGTAAACAATTTTACAAAGAGAGTGGGTTGTGTTCAATGCAGGTGTGCACAAGAATGCCATTCTAGGGTTTTGAGAAAAGGGAGACAGAATTTTAAAATGCTCTTACAACCTAAATGAATTTGTGGAATTAGGAGTCAGATTTTTTTTTTTTTGTTTTTTTTTGTGTGTGTGTGTACTCATTTGAAGCCGTAATTTTGAAATGAACATAGTTGACCTAGTGTTCCTTTTAGTAGCTAATATCACTTCTGCCAAATGAAACAACACAGTGCTGTTTTCAAATGCAAAGTCATTCAGTTTGCAAAAGAAAATGGAAACTGTGCTGCAGCAAGCATGTTTGGTGTTGATAAAAGATAGAACGGATTAGGATTATTGGCATTGTTCTGTTATCAGGACCGGGTTCAGAAATGTATGCATGCATATATTTATGGGTCAGAGTAACAATGATGATGAACATGAAACTGAATACAATGATGTGCCTGAAGACACAATGGAAGACAAACATAATGAACTTTTCATGCTATTTGATAATGAAAAATTTTAAGTTCATAAGTTATGTGTAAGGTATTCTTTTAAATAAACAGCATTTAGGAACATGTAGAAATCTAATTTTTGTATGCTCATCTTTTTGTTATTTTTAAAGCTATCATTTTTATATCAGGTGTATAATGTGCATCCATAAATTTTGATTTTATTTTCTGTGTTAAAAGTGTGTGTACTTGGCAGATATCTTCATCAAAAGAATTTTTGGGACACAAATTCAGGATTGACTTTATGGGTCCGATACAAAGGGCCGATTAATTAAATTAATTATATTAAGACTTCTCATAATGATTAATTAGATTAAGACTTGATTGACACTATTCTCCAGATTCTTTCCTGATATACATTAAGGATTGATCTTGAGTACTATTATACATAAAAATGTATTCTAAAAGTTAAAGCAGATGCAAATATTTGTGGCTTTTTAATAATTACAGCATACATGCTCTTTAAAAAATATTAAGCTATCCAGAACTACATTCAAATGCTAACTCCACAGTCCATACTAAAACATAATTTCACCTGCACTATATCACTTAGTTTATTAGTATTTAATAATTGTTAATAGCATAGTAAAGCTTAATTGCATTATTTTTTAAATTGCATTTGCTAATTAAAAAATAATTAATTACATGCCAGATATTTAAAATTCTCATTTTTCCCTTATTCATGACATATTTAACAATTCTCTAATGAAGGATACAATTTAATTTTTCAAAATAATATTCATCCAGTTACAATACTTCAATTCTCATCATACAGATTAACAGAATAATTCTTATTACAAACCAGTAATGATGTTGGTCATGTGTGGGTTATGAGGCCTTTTGTTGCAGCTCACAATGGATTAATAAAACTTATTTTCCTACTTGCATATATTTTTTATTTGTAATTACCTTAGGATATTACAGTGGATGACAAAAATATGGAAACACCTTGTGAAATGCATGTTTTGAAAAGAAAGATTGATTTTAATGAAATATGTAGGTGGCGCTGGTGTTTTTGACTACTGACGCCACCTATACAACTTCGTAAATGTGCTAAACAGTTCAGTTGTTGTCGGAGTACTGTTATGTTGTCATTGCATTATGTCAGAGTTAACAGACTTCGAACGTGGGCAAACTGTTGGAGCACGTATGGTAGGTGCTTCCGTAAGCAAGGTAGCCGAGGTGTTTAGTGTTTCAAGAGGTACTGTATCGAAGATTTATTCCGCATATTTGAAAAGCGGAAAAACATCATCTGCTAAATCACAGCACGGAGGAAAGTGTGTCCTGAGTGATCATGACACACGATCATTAAGGGCAATTGTGACGAAAAATAAGAAAACCACAGCTGCAAAAGTTACTGCTGAAATGAATGTTGGGTACCGAAGCCTGCGAGTACCAAAACAATTAGAAGGGAACTTCATAAACAGGGAATTGCTGGCCGTGCTGCAATTGAGAAGCCACTTATCAGTGATGCTAATGCCCGTAACAGGAAAAGGTGGTGTTTAAGTCATAAAGCCTGGACTATAGAGCAGTGGAAGCGAGTAATATGGTCTGACGAGTCTTCTTTCACATTGTTTCCCACTTCTGGCCGAGTTTACGTCTGGAGAACGCCATCTCAAGCTGATAATACAGACTGCTTGTTGCCAAGAGTGAAACATGGCGGGCGGGGGTTCTGTTATGGTTTGGGCAGCCATCGTGGTTCTCTGCTAGCCCCATGATAACTGTGTCAGGGAACATGACTGCCAAGACTTATGTGAACATTTTGGCCGATAAGTTCATCCCATGGTACAAACTTTGTTCCCCGACGGTGATGGTGTCTTCCAAGACGACAAAGCCCCTGTTCACACAGCTCACATTGTCCAGGACTGGTTTTCTGAGCACGAGGATGAGTTGTCCCATCTCCCCTGGCCACCACAGTCACCAGACCTGAATATTATTGAACCTTTGTGGTCTACATTGGAACGGAAAGTGCGTTCTCGTTATCCACCGCCAACATCGTTATCTGAACTTGCCACCGTTTTGCAGGAAGAATGGTATAATATTCCCTTGGCAAACATATAGGAACTGTATTTATCCATTCCGAGAAGACTGCAAGCTGTTTTGAATGCCAACGGGTTTCCTACACCATATTAAGCAAAGAAACATGTTTTTTTTTAAAGGTGTTTCCATATTTTTGTCCAACCCCTGTACCTTCACAGAAAGATTATTTGATATTAATGATATAGGAATTTTGAAACAATTTATGCTTGCTATTTGAGATTATATTTCTAAATATTGCTACGCTTAACATATTAGCATGGCCCACAGGTCAAAGGCATAACTTAAATTTGCTTTCGAGAATATAATATCTGGCTGCCAATCCTACATATAATTTTTATTACAAAAATCAACAGATTATAGTATGAAATACACCTAATTCTAGTTGACAGGAATTTTTAATCAAACACTTAAGTTTAGAAAATTCATACTTTATGTGTTAATATAACAAAATTATTACCAATAAATTTTCTTTATGTTAGACTATTAATTATTGCCTTTTTCTAATTTTCATTTCTATGTAAAATTGAAATATTATTTAGAAATGAATATTAGAAAAGCTAAATTAGAAAAATGACTGATGTAAAATGAATATATAATATAATGTATAGTTTTGTAATAAAAAGAAAATCTGCAGTCATAGTTTAATTTTCAACTGCAGTTACAGTTTAATTTTCAAGTAATTACTTGAATTTCCAACTGCAGTTATAGTTTAATTTTCAAGTAATTATTTGAAATTAAACTATAAATGCAGATATTTTTATTACAAAAATATACATTATATTACAGATTAATTTTATGTTAGTCTTTTTTAGTTAAAAAATATCCATATTTAACACATTTTTAAAAATTAAGTATGATGAAAGATAGATACTTACTTTCATGATTCCCTAAAGTAAAATCCCCTTCATAAACTTCATCACTAGAATTTAATAAACAAATATTAAACAAAGAGGAATATAATAGAACTATGGCATATAAAACACAATAAAAATTTTATAAAAATTAAATAAATGAGATCAAAAATTTACCTAAAAGCCATCCCCCATGCAGAAAGAAGATCATTTAGGGCTGGAATATTAGCTCCACCAGTATCAGGCATCCACCATTGCCTAAAGAAAGGGGAGGGAATGATACACAGAATTTTATTTACAAAAAACTTAAAAATTAGCAGTATCATTATAATAATGAATATGGTTCTGAAATCTTTTCTTTAGCATAATATATTTAAAAAATATTTGAGCTTTCTGCTAAAAATATATTAAAGTTATGAGTTAATTAAAAAAAATTATTTTTTACTTATAATCTTATTATGAAACAAAGTTTGGTAATTTTAGATTTGTATTTAATCAAGGACAAAATGCATTTAATCAAGGACAAATAAACAATGATGTCTCAAGATTTAAATCTATATTCAGATAAAAGAAAATTTTAAACAATCCTGAATTACTGAGGTTATATCATGCTCAAATCCAACATGTTTCATGACTATTTTAAACATTTTGCAAAACATATATATACCTTACAAGAATTTTTTTAATATGCATATGATGCTTCAAGCTTTACAAATGCTTGAGGCACCATATGCAACTAAACTTAACTTATTTCAAGCCCCCCATCCAAAATAAATATTTTTATTTAAACCAATAGAAAAATTCTCTGTTACTATAATAATTAATTTAAAAAAAAATAGTATTAAAAACATTTGTTTTTTCCCCTAGAAAGAAACTTAGATTTTCAAAAAAATTTATAAATTAAATTTTATTACAGGCTAAGCTACAGATTTTATTATGTCCAAGTTTGTGAGTATGTTGGAAAGCTACCTGCCACAAAAGTGATGTTTTTTGTGTATATAGCAAAGTTTCCAAGAAAACTAGCATATATTTATGCAATGTATAAGGAAACCAAAAATCCTTTGCAACCAGCAGCTGTCAAAACAGCAGAACTCAAACACAAAATGAATTGCCTGTGTTTGGTAACTTATAAACCATTCATATACCATAAATCCATATTTTATGACATATCTGGCAAAAAATGAATCTCTCAGTCCTATGGTTTCACAATAATGCCATGTGATTTTTTTTTTTTAATGAAAGAATTCAAGTTCCCAGAATCCTTTCATTGTTTTGCAATGCTTTATTTATTAACTTTGTTAGATAACATTACCAAATCCACAAATGAATATAAGAATAATTAAAAAAAAATTAATAAAAAATCTGAAAGCTTTTAGATTTTACATTATGCCCAAAAGGGACGCTTTTAAACATTTTCTGTGTTACCTTTATATATTAAATATGATCTTTGCACTTAAACCCTAAAATTCAATTCAACAGCAATATCACAAAATACACTCTTTTGCAAAAAAACTCAAAGCACCATGAAGGAAGTGGTTGTTTTTGATGAAACTAAACATGTGCATACCTTAAACACAGATAATAAAAATAATCAAAAAATCAAAGTCATAGCACCTGTTCATGGCTCTCAATCTCTCATTATGTATTCAAACTAGTAATTGGTCAAACCGCTCTGGCGGCAATGCATGCTTGAATTCATCAAGGCAAGGAGTGCTAGAGGTTCCTATGACACATTCTGCCAGGTATTCATCAGTTGTCGCTCCAGATCTGCGATATTTTGTGGTGCCCGAATCTGCAGCCTACAATGCCCCAGACATGCTCAATTGGTGAAACGTCTGGTGACCTTGCTGGCCAAGGAAGAGTATCAACCGCACGGAGACAGTTCAGAGATATGCAAGCGGTATGTGGCCTGGCATTATTTTGTTAGAAAATGGTCCAAGGATGATGCTCCACGCAATCACACCAGGGGTTATGGCTGTATGCCTTTGTTTTCCAGACACAAACACGGTGGTCATCTGCTTCAAGAGTGAAGCGGGATCCATCGCTGAATACTATACGATGCCAGTCTGATAGCAGCCATGACGATCAGCTGCGACACCACTCCAGACGACTCCGCCGATGTTGTGGAATCAAAGGGAAACCTTTTAAAGGCCTCTGTGATCGTACCCAGCCTCAGACAAACGGCGTGAGATGGTGGAGAGTACCACAGTAGGTATAGATATGGCTGTAGTGTGTTAAATAGATGACAACGATACCGTTGGGGTGGTTTTCGCCTGGCGAACAATCATCCTATCTTGCCTTGCATTTGGCCTTCATTTCCTCAGCAATTTCCTCGTAGCAACCATTGCTGCCAACGTCTTTGCACAGCAGTGTCTGTACGCTGCAGGTGGCGCCCTACTACTCGTTATCACCTACAATGGTTCACACAACCCTACAATGCGACCAGGTTCGAAGTCGTTTAGTTGCCTGTAAAGTCTTCAATATCATCGTAATGGCATCTTTAGTTGCTTCTTTACGGAATTACAATGGCAGCAACAAAAAAAGATAAATTTTCCACCTCTGCTACTGGTTTTATACTTTGCAAATTGTGCAATAAAAATGTGAGCTATGATCGCAATTCTTGTTCATTTGCACGTTCGATCAAGATGTTTTTGCATACCAAATTTCATCACGATTACAAAAGTCCTTCTTGGTGCTTCGATTTTTTTTTTTTTTTTGCAAAAGAGTGTAATTTTAAAATGCGCATATCTTTATAATTTTTCAATACACAGTCTCGCATGCTGGAGATAAAATGTTTTTTTTCCCCCTGTACAATGTTGCCATTGCTCACTTTAAAACCATTGGGTTTCTTTATTAAAAACTCATAAATGCTTTATAAAATATGAAAGAGATAATAAAACAAATTTGAAATTCCAAATTTGGGCTTCCAGATGCCCATATTCAGAAGAGGATTACATTATTCAAAATGTTATGGCTCTAGGTACGATTGTTTAATTACAATGCGAGAAACATACATACATTTATGCAGATTCTTCATTATTTCCTTTCTTTAAGTATAACACAGGGTGATAATATTTGATGGCAACAGTTTGAAAAGTGAATTAACGCAAAATGTCAAAATGAAATTAATAGCCCTTCTGAGCTAACGCTTCTTTAGACTAAAAAAATATAATTACTTATCAGGAAAAAATGTGTAATACTTCGGAAATATTACTAAGATTCTCCTTAATTTACAGATCAGCAGCTTTGTTAATATATAAATGTCTTTAAAACTGTGACAATGTTAAATCACATACAGTTCATTATTTTATTATGCATGTCCTTCTTAAATATTCAAATATCATTTTAAATAAATAAATAACATTTTTTTTTAAATCCTCTATAAGAATTATTTGAATTCTCATACTTGACAGATACACAGCATATTCACCATTAATTCTTAAAATTTCCTTTTTATTTTTTTCCTTAAAAAAAATGGGATTTCAATTTTTATTAATTTTTAATTACTTTCTGTTTTTTCAGTTCTTTTATTACTTGTTCATACTACCATATTTTTAGAATTGAGTTAATAATGTTATGGTATTTATTCTAAAAAATCTTTAATAAATATCTGTCATGTTGGCATAAAATAATGTTAAGAGTACAACAATTTACCAATCAGAAAATAAGACTTTAATTTGCTCTCCTTCCCCCCCCTTTTTGTTCAGCAACTGACATATACCTCACAATATTTCAATCCTTTTAAAAGGCTAGAACATAATATTGTAACCCAACATCAAGATTAAAATAGTGTAGCTTTTCTTAGCATAATAAATTACACATAATGCTGCAAAAAATAGTTTATAGAAATATCTCCACGTTCTAATAATTAAGATAATTTTAGAATGAATTAAATAAATTGTTTTCAATAAAATAAAATAATTTTTTTAATAATAAATAATAATAAATAATTTTTTACATAGAGAATAAATTGTTTTTTCAAATACACAAATACTAACCGAGTGTTTTCATCATAAAATTTAACTTTTTTCATGACAGAAACATTATACCAATCAGCAAAGACAACAAGAGAAAGTCCACTGTCTATATCTTTAATTAGCTTAGAAACTTCTTCATGAAAAAATTCTTCTTCACTATCAACTAGTAGCAAAGCACCTGTTAAAAATAATACAAGGTAGTAATTATAATTTCTCATTTATCACTCAGCATGTAGTTTTAATCCAAACAAATTATGACCCAGTATTTTTAATTTTCAAATTAATATTTCTCAAATAAAATATAATTTTTATAATGCTTTTCGACAAAAATGTATAGTACATAAACACTAAATGCATTCTGTTGTTTTATTCAATCAAGTCCATTATAAAATTGAATTACATAGCACTGATTTTTCAAAGGTAAAATCATAAACTGCAGGATTACAAAAAAATTATTTCAATTCCTAATGCTCAAATGAAGTGAGAGAACAAAATGTTTAAAAGCATGTCTTACCATATTGTTGAGCATCAAAGCATGTAAATGGGGAACCTAAAACTTCCACATAATAACCATTATTCCTCAAATGCTGATACATGTCTTTAAAATTGGTATGAATGTGATCTCCATTCCTATAAAAAACAAATTTGTTTCAAATCAATAAAATTTGAAAATTTTCTTAAAAACCTTCCATCTATTTATTCCAATAAACTCAACATATATAATATATACAGAAATAAAATCAGAATATCCAATTCCAAAAACTAGTAAATTTAATAGATAAAAACGGTTAAGATTTTATAGTAACTAAAAAACATTATTTCATAAAAATGAGATACAGTACAAAGTCCGTAATCCAGACTTGTCGAGACTTCAGCGATTCTGGATTAGGGTTTTTTTCGGATTATAGATAATCAATTTAAATCTGGCAAGATGGCATGCAGAAATTATACAATTAAAAATATCAAAGCGTAATTTATGAAATAAAGAGCAATTATGATCTAAAGGGTATCAAAATTTACAAAAAAAAAAACTTAATATTTATACTTTATTAAACATTTCTTTCAATGTAAGTTGTTTAAGTTGCTTCGTTCTTTGTGCTTATACTTTCTCTTTAATTCTATAAAGAGACATAATTTCTTGTTCAGTTACAAAGTTCCACTGTTCAAGTCCTGTAATTGCTGTATCGAGAATACCGACTAACTTGTCAATCAAAATTTTTTTGTTTTCAATAACCTCTGTCACTTTCTTCAGTATCGGAAGCACGCATGCAGGCATGCGTATCGGAAGCGCACATTAAACGTGTATGCATACAAAAATAAAGTTTGTGGCTTTGAGGTCTGGATTATAGATCATTCTGGATAATGGACGTCCAGATTATGGACTTTGTACTGTACATAATTCTACAAAACAGTGTAATGCCCCCTAAGCAAATTAAATATAACTAAAATGTACACTATATGGAATGGCATAAAAATGAAGTAACGACATACGGCACAGAATGAATATATTCAGTGTGATAATGGAGAATCTAAAGGCTTTCATTATAAAGCTATGACAGAACAGAGAAGTTCCTGTTTATCATAGTAAAACAATTTTTTGAAATCAAAGGCTGACACTTGGGATGTTGCTAGGTGTCACAGTATTATCTAAAATTATCATGCATGGCTTAAGACTACTTAATTAACTGTAATGGAAACTATAATTGATGTATAATTTTTAAGATGCGAATGAGTCTCTACAGATAGCAATATTCAGTGTTCCAATATATTTTTCACGTGCTCATGACACAGTCCCGAAAACAGTCAGATCATTTACTCCATTCAACCGTTATGAATTTTATATCTATGTAAATAATTTTAATGAAATTCTAGTATTTCTTGTGCAATGTGACATGAAATGCTTGAAAGAGATGATGCTCTGCCAGAAAAATAAAATTACAGGAGGCAAGTCTATTTAACATTGAATAACTCACTATCTCACTAAACTGGCGAGCTATCACCAAGTTGGCGACAGCTTTGGTGACTAATTTTTGTTGCCAAATTAGGCAAGAAATAGCCATTTGGCAACATTTGGGTTCAGTCCTAGTACAGCTGTAATTTGTATTGTGATTGAATAAATGTAATTGATCCCTGTATTAACCATAACTGTATCCAATCCTCATATGTCTGCCAGTATGTAACCATAAGAAGTGGAAGATACTAGAGATTTCTTGGAGCCAGGGGGAAAACTGTACAAGACCAGAGACAGCATAAGTTTTTCAGTTATTAGTTCAAAGCGACTTCGGAGTGCTGAGATACCTGTGAGAACTTCACTTTTTATATGCACTTTGCATTGTGTTGTGTTTAACATTCTTAGTAGTTTGGAGTTAACTACTGATTGTTCTCTGTGATACTGAGAAGAGCTGTACAAGTGCTTTGTGGAAAGTTGCAGAACTTTAAAATGTTTATATTTGGTAAAAATAAAATTTGTCAAGCTATCATCGGTTCTGTGTGCATTCAATCTATTTATGCCCCTGTAAGCCCATAACAGTATAATACTTAAAAAAAAAAAAAAAAAAAAAAAAAAAAAAAACTTTTTATATTCATTTTAAATTACGAAATAAAATATTAATAAGGGAAAATACTATGTGTTCTCAACCAGAAGGGAATATCATAATTTCAAGGGGGAACATGATCAGCCTTTGATTTGGCTATTAAGCATTTAGTTTTAGTTTATGAATAAAAAACTATTTTATGTATAAAAACTATTACATATATATGTGATGAAACTGTGGTTCGATTACACGACATGAATGATTTGATCGTGAATGAAGTACTAACTTGCATTAAAATTTCCGATTAAACAGGACTTTTTCCTTTATTCACTGTGAACATAGCTTAACAAACTCATGTAGAATTTTTCATAATTAGAACTGGCCAAAGAATGTAATGACAGGACACTTTTGATGGCACAAAAATAAGAACGCTGAAATGTAGATGCATAGAAATACTAATTACGTAGATACTCGATGCTTAGAGCGTCCATCCATTTTGAAGAAGAAGCAGTCGAGCCAGATTAAATTCATTTATTTTATTTAAATTCACATTTTGTGGCCACAATTCACTTGGCACTCTACTCGTGCCTATTAAAGAACATTTTCAATTTTGATATTATTGCCATAGAAGCGAATATAGCAGCACACACATGATTGCAGAAAGAGGTTTGGCCAAGGGGAAAGCACAAGCAAAAGAGATGCATCAGTTCATAGAAAAAAGGGAGGGAGTCAAAAGTTACAGTTTTTTAGTTTTGGTTTACAATTTGGTGATTGGTCAAGAGGCATTTGAATTAAGGGTTATGTAAGATCGCATGATTAATTTGAATGACGCAGTTTAGACTTAAGCACTATTTTTAGGACAGATAAATGGAAGTTTCCAAATGAAATAAAAAATAAAAGAGGTTATAGTGAATTAAATTTAGAAGTTTCCTTTCATATTTTTTGTTTTACACAAAAAAAGAACTTTTTACAGACTGGACTCAAATCATCATAGGATTTTAAAAATTCTCTATCGCTTCGCCTTTTGCTTTTGAAAGGGGGATGTGCAAGATAAAAAATATGAAAGCAAACTTCTAAATTTAATTCACTATAACCTTTTATTTTCTATTTCATTTGGAAACTTCATCTATCTGTCTTAAAAATAGTGCTGTAAGTCTAAACTGTGTGATTCAAATTAATCATGCTATCTTACGTAACCCTTAATGCAGATGCCTCTTGACCAATCACCGAATTGTAAACCATAACTAAAAACTGACTTCCTCCCTTCTTTCTATGAACTGATGTCACTTTCGCTTAAGCTTTCCTCCTGGACAGAAGCTTTGTGGCTACCTTCTTTGTTCAAGGAATATGTGCTGATCTAACAGAAATGTAGAGCACATAAGACGATCGTCTGTATGTGAGCCAAATATTGTGAATCCCAACTTGCTTTCCTCAATAATAAATAATAATTTTGAATTTGAACATGTTTGCCTTGCCAAGTTTCTTCACTACTCATCTATTACGCCACCACCAAGCTCCATATCATTCATTTTATATCATTACATTTATATATATATATATATAAACTATTTTTATCCTAGTTTTGCTATATGACATTTTCTATACTTTTTTGTTATTCATTTATCATACATGTTTAAAAATAATCTAAACTGAAATAAACATATATGTAGTTTTAGAGTTTGGCAATTGAGGGACGATCTTCTAGCAGAAGTGAATCGGGGTGTGCAGCAAAATAGGTTGAGAACCACAGAACTGCAGGCTTCACAAAATACAATTTGTTTCAGTGAAAGCATTATTGCCCCCCCAAATGAATAATATTTAAATTAAGCAAGAGTGATATTAAAATAACAAATTTCTTTCTGTATGGATAAATACATAAACAATTGATTTATTACTGATAATAAAGTAATTACAGTCGAATCCGGTTAATTGGACCACTGGATAATCAGACCAGTCGCTTTTTCGGACCAAATCCTAAAGAACCAAAACAAATCCTATGTACGTAAGCCTAATATTATTCACTTATTTGGACCAAAATTCTGTTTAATCGGACCAAAAAACATGAGAGTGAATAAGAAACAGAAGCTGCAAGTCAGACACGTAGAGCGGATGTACCGGTGGTCTGCAGGGGCATAAATATGGGAGGATCTATAGTTGCGGCTTCCCAGGAAAAGGCTTTGTCAAAGGTCAGGAATTCCTTAAAGTGCATGACAAAAACAAAACCGGTGGGAGATGAAAACACACACCATTTTCTTTGACCTGTGCCTCCAAGTTTTGAGGAAATAAACAATAGAGTGTCCGGCTCCACCTGAAAGGAATTCTCGCCTGTCAATCATGATTAAAGTTTACCTTGCTATCATTTCATCACCTTTTGGGGATGATTTTTAGTGCCAAAGCTTTGAATGGCAAGCATTTTATCTCCCTCTTGACCTCAACCTCTTGAACCCAAAACACCAGGGTTTCTTTAGACCACTTTAGTGAGTGAACTGTGCGCATGTCTTGTCTCCCCTGCCAAAATGCCACCACTGGACTTGACGTTAGCTGAAAAAATTGGTTTCCTGCATAAGATCCAGCAAAAACCACGAAACACTAGTCAGCGTCGGTTGGTGGAAATAACCGGATTGGCAAAGACTACAATTTCGCGCTTGATAAAACAAGAGAATGAGCTGCGAGAACAATGGGCACAATATGAAATGCAAAGCAAAAGAACTCGCTAAAAAGCTGGGCCACGATGATTTTAAAGATATGGACAGCTGGTTGTCTTGGTGAAAATCTAGACATGGCATAAAATTCAAGAAAGCACATGGCGAGAAAGAAAATGCTGATAGTGCAATGCTGAAGAATGGAAATCAACAAAACTGCCCGAGCTTCTTGAAAATTTTTCAGCAGATGACATCTACAATGCTGATGAGAGTGGGCTGTATTATCGAGCTACAGCGGACGGCTTGTTAAGTTACAAACATGCTGCACTCTCTGGCTCCAAAAAAGCGATGGATCGCGTAACTGTCTTGTGCTGTTCAAACATGCCAGGAACGAACAAGAGGAAGCTGTTGGTTATAGAAAAAAACACTAAGCCTCGTTGCTTTAAAGGACTTAGGATGGAGAGTTTAAAAGTTGAGTATCGTGCGAACAGAAATGTGTGGATCACCTCTGAACTTCTTAAAGAATGGCTGAAAAATTGGGATAGAGAGCTACAATGCCAGTCAAGAAAAGTGCTGCTTCTTCTTGACAATTGTGCAATACATCCTCATTTAGATTGCTTGATGAATGTCCAACTGGAATTTTTACCTCCCAGGACTCCAGCTTTGGTCCAGCCAATGGACATGAGCATCATAAAAAATTTGAAGACAATTTATCATGCAAGGTTGGTTAATTACATCCTTGAAGCAGTTGAAGAAAGTTTGCTGACCTCATCCTCAAAAGCCAGAGAAGTCAGTACAAAGGTCAACATTTTACAAGCAGTTACATTTGTGGCTGACAGCTGGTGAAAAGTGAACAGTGAGACAATTCAGAACTGTTTCTCTCTCTGTGGCTTTAAGCACTTGGTTTTGGAGATGGATATGGACATGCTCATTGAAAGTGAAAATGATGATTTACACGTGGAATTTCAACAGGTACAAAATTGCGAAGAATTTTTATCCATTGACAACAGCTTCAATACTAAGATGAAAATGAAGATTACGATGCTGCAATCGTTGCTAGAATTGCAGCAAAACACACGACAGCATCGGAAGACCAAGAAAGTGATGATGATGATGCCGCTAATAAGCTGGTGCAAATGACAAGACAGGATGCGAGGAAATGCATTGAAACTTTGCATCGGTATATCATGCAGGAGGGAAATGAAGGCAGTCCTATTGCTACATTAGATGTTTGTGGATCATGTGCAATCCGTCAAGAGAATGCATCAGATCACATTGGATAAGTTTTTCAAATGTTGACTGAAACTTAGTAAGAAATTGTTTTCATTGTGTTTCGCATGTTGAGTATCGTGGAGATCATTTCTTAGAATTTGTTTCTAAATTAATTTTCTCATTTAAAAACGTTTGTCTGTATTTCTTGTTTGTACATGTATGTTCGCCATACGTGTGTACCATACCATAAAGTTCATAATTACATTTTAGTACATGATTTACATGTACATTTACTGTTTGCTACATACAGCATGTCCCATCTTACAACATAGGACATGTTCGCGTAATCAGACCAGCCGGTTATTAGGACCAAAAGAATCGCTTCCTGATGTGGTTCGATTAACTGGAATCGACTGTATAAAGCATTTTTTATACTTACCAGTCCAAAGGATCATTTTTCATACGTAAGTTATCCCGAGGAAAATATCCAGGTGGATATCGCAGATTATGATACTGGTCCCATAAAATTCGCTTACTGAAAATTAAATGGATTTTATAAATGTCATAGAAAATTTATCAATCAAAATTATGATAATTTAAAAAAGAAATGGCATGTTAAACACTATAGATCCATAAAAACATTTTAATTTGAAATCTAAATGTACTGGACTAAACAGAATTCTTATTTTAAGTGTATTATTATAAATTGTCTATAACCAGGATTTAAAAATAAATTAATTGAATTAAATTTTAAATAAATTTGTTAAACATCATTTGGAATTAATAGCATAAGCTATATTAATTTCAATTTTTGATATAGCATTATTGATACATCACATACAGAAAATAACTCTTTAAAAAAATTTTAAAATAACTCAAGATTCAACACAAAAATCCAAATTTGGAACATATAATACGAAATACTGTTTTGAAATAAAATAAGTATAATGATACCCTGCAAAATGAATAACTAAACTAATGTCCCACAAAACAAATGAATCCGTACGCCAAAAATATCCTGCATAGCAAATTTACCCTTTGTAAAATACATGTGGAAATTATAACATATTAAAGGAAGAATTAAATTTATTTTACTTTCTAAAAAGGCAAGCATAGCATAAATGCACAAAATGCATCTGCACTTAAATAAAGACAATGAACAGAGTAATGAGCAAGCATATATATTTCTTAATATGATATTATTACAGTCAAATACCGAAAATCCGACGACCCGAAATCCACGTTGCTTCTCAATATATAAACATTTAGTTTATAGGTTCTGGAAACTGCAACATGGAGTATGAAATATTGAAGAAATAATGCTTACTGGATAATGACATCATAATTACCAAATAATAATGAGTCATAACAGAAATACCAAATTATTGACATCATGATAAAGAGTTTTTTCCCCCTTCAATCTGCATCAAGGTAAAAAAAAAAAGACGATTAACTCAACTCTTCTTTCAAGTTCACGCTTTACATTGTTGTACTTTCTGAGCTTTGTTATTTCACAAGATTGTTTAGTTTAGTGATGTCGTTCTTTTTTATCCGGATATTTTGTGGATAAATTAAGAATATTTTAAATTTCAGCTATGCTGTCTTGTACAAGTGGTTACGGCAGCGGCGAAGTGATGGGGTACCTATTTCAGGACTAATCCTGAGAGAAAAGGGGAAGCAGATTCATGCTGATTTAAAAATAGAGGAGCCTAATGTAAATGAACAATATAATATAATCAGTTTATATATGTAATAAAAATTTAATGTATATAGTTAATTATTGTATTAATGTATATAACAATTTAATTAAATGTATCTAATATGCCTTATTTATTTTGCATTTTTAGCCTGAATATTATCTTTTCTGTCCTGAAATTAGCAAAATCCTAAAATCTGCATAACCTCTGGTCCCAACCGTTGCAGATTTCTGGATTTCTACTGTATTACAAAAACTGCAAGCCATTCTTGAACAGGTACATGAAGAAGCCCAGAGAGGAGTTTCTTTTAGCAAAGAGGAAGAGGAAAAATACAAACGACATATGCCTAATGTAAAAACGAAAGAATTTTTGAGAAAATGGGATGAAGTTTAGGCCACAGACAAGCGGTAGTATCCTAATTAAGACAAAGTGAACATTCAAGCAAATCTGTTTAATGACAATAATAGCAATGGCTTACTTAAGTACTCTCCTGAATGAAAAAAGCAAGTACAATGGAAGAACTAATCCTTTTAGACTAATTCTTGAAACCCGAACCTCTTTTCTTAAGGAGAGGGGAGGCAAATATAGAATTTCAAAGCCTAAAATCAGATTAAACTGAATTGTAAAACTGCGAGACTATGGACATGACAAATTCCTAGCATTTCCAGTATTGCTATTTTCAATATTCTCTGAAAGTTCTTTTATATTTCTTCATGATTTTGAGCAGTTTGAAGAATAGATTAAAATTTTTCCTGTAATAAACTATGGGAACAGTGCCCATAATGAATTTTACTATGGAACGGACTGCACTTATTATTCACAATACCACTGAATAAAGAATGCATAATGGTTGTTCAGAAAGTAAGTTCTGTTGGTACGTAAAAGAAAATGGAGACAGATACGGACAAAGATACATATTTAATAATGATTTACAAACTTAAAATTAAGGCATTCATTGCATCGAAATACAAGGTTTTGTATGCTAGCATCACAGAAGATGGCCACCTGTGAGGTTTGTCAAGTTGTAACAGCATCTTGCACGTCTTCATCATCAAAATGCTGGTTACTCACAAACAGCTTCAAGTGCAAGAATATGCGAAAGTCACTTACTGCCAGGTCAGGGCTATATAGCAAATGACTCACTTGTTTCAAACATCCTCTCATCCATCCAAAGGATGAGAGATCTTGAGTCACACGAGTGGAATTGGTCTGACATTGTCATGCTATAAAATGAAACTAAGCAAGCCCCATATCTTGTTTTGAACGGCACATCACAGATTTTTCAATGCTGCACTGAAAGTACTGACAATTTTGCTGACTGTGAAATTTAACAATATGATGCATCTGTCCCATAAAACTGTGCACGTGATTTTACATGTGACAATGGTTCGTTTGAACTACTTCCATCAGGTCGGCAAGGCAGGGTGCTTCCATTCCTTTGATTGTTGTTTCAATGATAGCATGACATGGGAAATCCATGTATCATCACCAGTGACTTCAATGATAACATGACATGGAAAATCCATGTCTCATCAACAGTGACAATGTAGTTCAAAAATTCATCCTTCTTGGTTTGGTTTGGTTTGTTAGATTATGGCAAAGCACTTGAGGGCTATCTGCCTTAAGGGAGGGATGCCTTCGTGGAGGACTTTTTAAGGGAACTGGCTCATATACACGTTACACATGGGGAAAACCACGAAAACACCCATGCAGTCAGCCCGTTCGCGGGATTCGAACCTCGGACCGAACTACCAGTGTTCAGCGATGTTACCGCTCGGCCGCTGGTGGGCACCATCCTTCTTGGAATTGTATGACTCAGGTCATAGCAGTGGCAAAACATTTAACTTTATGCTCTTCTGTAAGCATTTTTGGTACCCACTATGCACATGCTTTTCAGTAGACCAAGCGATTAGTAATAAATTCATATAGAACAGAATGCAAAATTCAGAAAATGCTAATGAAAGTTTGGAGATTGTAAAACTTCTATTTGCATTTTCACATCAACTTGATGAACCAGTTCATCATTCACAGCAGATGACCAGCAACTTTTCACTTCATAGTGCACATTTGTTCTGCCTGAAATGAACAATCAAACCCATCTTCTAATCAATCCCTCACTCATAGCTATAGTGCCATACACTCACAGATTTGCCTATGGATTTTGCATAGTCACGTATTCCTTGCATCCAAAAACTAAGTAACAGTATGAATTTTACAGAGACAAGACCTTCCATAGTTTTAATCTTTAGTGGAAGATTTACACATGTCAGCATTTTGCCATACAAACTTTTCGGTTATGATGCATCATTCAGTCATTGAAGATGCAATACCACATATGCAGATTGTCGAGTGCAGAAATTATTATATTCTGTAACTTATTTTACAAAAAACCCTAGTATTTTTAATAGCAATCAAAAAATTTTATTAAAATCATTAAGGTACTTAATTTTTTAACAAAAATTAATGCAACAATCTGTTATTTAGAAATTGAATATTATATCAGGAAAACAATAATGATCAGTTTATTAAATATATGATATGAACTTGGAGTAGTAATATACAACAAATAAAAGCTAAATTACCTTCTGGGTGGAGTTGGGATAATTTTTACTTTCAAAGGCAATTTAATGTAAGATTTTCTTACTTCAGTTTCACCTTCCTAAAACAAAAGTTAATATTAAGTCAACAATTCTTTCAAAGCATGTCACAAATATTGACCTCATATACTAGAAATTATGAAATTATGGTACCTCAAAAATATTTCCTTTGTGAACTAAAAAATGCTTCCAAAACTGTCAGAATTATATTATACTATATTTATTTGGAAGTAAAGTGAAATACAATAACAGCTTTCATATAAAAATTAAGCTTCATAATATAAGGGAAAATTTTAAAATTATTTACAGACCCATTATAAACTTTAATGGAGCAAACATTTAATAGGACAGCAAAATTTCATACACAGAATCAATAAATGAAAGAAAATATAGAAATATATTACAACTGATCATAAAATATTAAGTTTGATATTGGGAGGGGCAAGATTTTATAAAAAGCTTATAAATAACAACTTTAAGCAAGTAAATATTTTAATAAATATTAAGTATGTAAACGTTATTATTTAGATACATAAGCATTACCTCAGGAGGTGATTCAACGGTGAAAGATATGTGACCTTGAGCAATACCTTCCCAATTAGCAGCCATAGAAGAAACTGATATATGTACAGCAATGTATCCTGACCAAGGCCATAAGATGTCAGAATATGAGAGAGCTACTTCTAAATGATGGCCATACTGAGGAGTATATGGATGCCACTGTGGCTGTAATATTAAAAAAAATTCTCTGTTACATATTTATATTAAACATTAACTAAGAAATATATATCAAACTTTGATTTAAAAAATGAAATTCAACAATAAACACTAAAAACTCTTAGTGCAATCTTCTTTTCAAACCAACATCCCATCATTTTGTAGAACATATTAAAAACTGTGCATTTCTTGGGGAGGAACAGTTTTTGAACTTATTTGATGTTCAATTTAAATGATGACATGAACAAAATTCATATTTTACAGATTACTTAAAATTTTCAGTTCAACATATGTGTTCCACGTGATTTAAAATTTTGTGTAATTTTATGAAATAGCTTACAAACACATATTTTAAGTAGAACTATGAAAGAAATACACAAAATATTTACAAATAGCTAATATCTGATCACATCATAGCTATAATGTTATGAGAATAAAAGACAAAAACTGTTATTTTATATAACATATGGAGCATTATGTCTCTTTATCATAAAATAATGTCATAAACATAATAGTCACTAAAATCAAACTACAGCAGAACCTTAGACCATGAACATCTCATTTCATGAATTATCAGTTCACAAACATATTAACTGAAGAAAAAATGCCTCAGATGACAAATGGTGTCTCAAGTTATGAACACTCATGTCAGCAATGTAGAACTATCAAAGAAGTTTGAGATAACCTATGGCATATAATTAACACTCATGGATTTCTGGAAACATATTAATATTTTCTATAGCTTTGCTCTCGTTGCTTTGTACAAAGCCTGGCAATAAGTCATCATGAATTTGACTAAAGAAAACTATTGAATCATGAATTTGGACTAAAGAAAACTATTGCCAGATTGGGTTGCAGACAGAGACTGTGAAAGCTTTGACACCAAAGACTTTTTTTTTTTTTTAAAATTACAGACCTTAATCCTCATTGTAAATGCAATCAATAATTTAGACAGTACACAGTCTCTAATCCAGACGTCCATTATCCGGAATAATCTATAATCCGGACCTCAAAGCCACAAACTTTTTTTTTTTTTTGCATGCTTTACGCATGTGCGTTTAATGTATCATGGACGGTATAAGCTAGGCTAAAATTATCTTTACTGCTTCTAAGGCACTTCAGTTAATGTTGCAGATTGTGCTGTTCCTTAATCTTCTAATTGGATCCGGCTTATTATTTTTTGCAGACTGTTAGAGCAATAGTATAAAGATTAAGCTTGAACTTTCGATTATATCAAAAAGAGTTTTCAATTCTGGAGCTGCCAAAAATATACAAAGAAAAAGCATGTTTCGATGCCCATCAAACAAAAAGTGGAATTGCTGCAAAAAATTGATAAAGGCATATCCGTCTCAAAATTATGTAAGGAATATGACATTGGACAGTCAACTGTATATGACATAAGCAAAAAGAAAAAGGAACTTTTTGAATTTTGTGTGGATTCTGACAACCCACTTGCAATGAATAACAAAAAAAGGGTTTGTTATGCTAAAAGTGACGATCATGACAATGTGATGATTGAATGGGTCAGACAGCATCGCAGAGAGGGTGTGCCATTGATGGCTCCAATGATAATGGCTCAAGCCAAACAGTGGGACTTTGTAACTGAACAAGAAATTATGTCTGTTTATAGAATTAAAGAGAAAGTAGTAGCACAAAAAACAAAGCAACTTAAACAACTTACATTGAAAGAAATGTTTAATAAAGTAAACAAATAAATATTAAGCTATTTTTTTGTAAATTTTGATACCCTTTAGATCATAATTGCTCTTTATTTCATAAATTATGGTTTCATATTTTTATTTGTATAATTTCTGCATGCCATCTTACCAGATTTAAATTGATAATCCGGAATCACCGAAGTCCCGACGAGTTCGGATTACGGACTTTGTACTGTATCTCATTTTTATGAAATAATGTTTTTTAGTTACTATAAAATCTTAACCGTTTTTATCTATTAAATTTACAAGTTTTTGAAATCGGATTTCTTGATATTTTATTTCTGTATATATTATATATGTTGAGTTTATTGGAATAAATAGATGGAAGGTTTTTAAGAAAATTTTCAAATTTTATTGATTTGAAACAAATTGTTTTTTATAGGAATGGAGATCACATTCATACCAATTTTAAAGACATGTATCAGCATTTGAGGAATAATGGTTATTATGTGGAAGTTTTAGGTTCCCCATTTACATGCTTTGATGCTCAACAATATGGTAAGACATGCTTTTAAACATTTTGTTCTCTCACTTCATTTGAGCATTAGGAATTGAAATAATTTTTTTGTAATCCTGCAGTTTATAATTTTACCTTTGAAAAATCAGTGCTATGTAATTCAATTTTATAATGGACTTGATTGAGGAAAACAACAAAATGCATTTAGTGTTTATGTATTATACATTTTTGTCGAAAAGCATTATAAAAATTATACTTTATTTGAGGACTATTAATTTGACAATTAAAAATACAGATTACGGACTTTGTACTGTATTAGATTAGAAAATTATGGTATTATTTTGTAAAATAATTACACTAAGTAGAAATTTAATATATAATAATATGTTTTAATGGTATAAATAATTACAATGGTATAAATAATTACACTAAGTATAAGTTGCCTTACAAATTGAGAAATGGTTTTCAAATGAGGAAATAATATTTAAAAAAAAAAAAAAAAAATTAAATACTAATAAAGCACACCAGAAAAGTTGACCTATGTCTTAATCAGGATAAAATTACAAAACATTTATTATAGATACAATTTTAGTTTTCACTCATCAAAAATCAACTTTAATTTTCTCTCAGCACTATCTGCTTCTGATATTATATATACAAATCAGATCACTCGGTAAGATGCAAATTTCCTGATACAAAGAAGAAATTAAGAACAAATATAAATAGATGCATATAACTACCTGGTTTAACTTCTTTTGAAGTGAAGTATTAGTGCTGAATATTTCCATCAACACCTTTCTTGCCAAATTAATTTGGAAAGTAAGTGCATTAATTCCAAGTTATGTTCACTTTTACTAACCCACAAGTCACAATAACCTTAATAAATTTTAGATGGTTATTGTGTTTCAATTAGTTACTAAGAGTAATTCCTATTACTGCCATCTAACTTGAGAATAAGATTTTGATATACATAGACCAAGTTTCTGCACACAAAATCTAGTCTAAGTGTCTTTACTTTGTTACCTCATTCTATAAAAATTTTTCTTGTCTCATTTCTTTAAATGTTCATTTTGGCACACATTATTAAAATTCTATATGAAACTGTCGGTCATCCCCTTAAATCATTCTTCTGAAAACACAACCCATCTTCTATGCACAGCCAAGCATTAAACAAACTTATAAGATCATTTACTACATTTGCATTAAAAGTAATCATATGAATTTAATTTTACAAAGTATAACAATTACATTAATTAGTTACCCAACTTGAAGAACTTATTTACACATGAAGTTCATGCACTTAAGACCATTTCATAATGAAGCCATGGTTTTAAAATCACCTTGTACATAAATTATCTCACATTTGGACTAATACAGTGATTAAAGAAAAATAAAACAACAAAATCAATTTTAACTTAATTTGTCTAATGCACTTTTATTTTTGTTGTTATAATTATAATTTCAAAGACAGTATGTTTTAATGCTGGATGTTTTTAAAAATAATGATTAATATTTTAGTAATGACAAAAGTATTTAAGGATTTAAAAAACGTTTTTATTTATAACTGTTTCATGGATCGAATTACATATTTGATTCCAAGAATAAATACTGTTGTATTTTCTCTTTCAAAATAAAAATCAGACATTTTCAAAACACAAATAATATGAATAAACAAATACTTTTGACTACAAATAATTCATAGATATAATAGATATATAGAGAGATGAAAAAAAAATATATTATTACCTTATTGACTATTTTGCCAGATACACCCATTCCATTAAGAATTGTTACCTAAAAAGTATGACAGTGATTTAAAATAATACTTACATTTATTATTACAATACATTTTATTCCAATGTAAATTGGAAACTGGACTACTTTCATTATTTTTCTACATTTTTAATATGTAAAATACTGACTTGAGATGTAACGATAAGACATTGTTAACAAAACACAATTCCAGATATAATTTTCAAAATCAAAATGCATATGTAAAGAAAATTTAATGACATGAAGGATTAAAAATAACATGTTAACCAAGTCTTTTAACAAAAGTTCTGAAATGTATGAGCTTTCACAGTATATATAGTATCTGATTTCCTATAAAGAAATTTGGCACAGAATACCAGATGATAAAGACTTTTCAACAAAATTCATAGGAAAGTTTAAACTTACATTAACAATTGTAGGTAATCCTCCATAGTACAATGGCTGAGAACAATAAGGCCACATATATGGACATTCAGTAAGATCTAAGTAACTGGGACTTAGAGTAGCTTGAGGTCTGTAACTCCTCAATGCCTGATAGGCTCGAACTAAGTCCAGTTTACCCCAACCTTGCTCAAATATAGGTACACCTGGTAAGCGACGTGCAGATGCCATTAAAGCCTGCTTCATGCTAGCTGGATTTATGGCCCCACCAAGATGAATAACTCCACTAAATAATGATGAAGAACTAATGAGACACATTCACAATAAAACTTCTTAGGTACAATACATAAATAATTAATCAAAAGTATGTAATGCATATTCTCTTCAATTCCATTTAAGAAATTTGGTACTTAATGTATTATTGCAACAACCTTGATAGAAATCACCAAATTTTCAGAATATGCCAAATCCTGGCAATCATGCACATAATCATCCTTCCAGCAACCATGCTCATAACAAACCTTCAATCAAGCAATGTCACCATTTTTGTATGCATTATATTTGTTGTATTCCAAGTTCGAATGGTTTTGACACATTATGTTACTTTTTTGCCTTAAATTCAATTTCAAAATGCACACTTGCAGAATCTGTTAAAGAAACTGCGGTTAAAATTTCTGTGGGAATACAGAATTTTGCTTTAAAATCTTTAACTCTCCAGTGGTAGTGAGATTCATATTTTTACCAAATACATACAATATCTGTCAGTCATAAATTTCTCATGCAAGCTTATTCATTTGTATCCACTGCTGTGCATAACTGGAATGTGAGCTAAACTAATTCACCAGCATTAAAAGATTAAAGAGAATAATAACGAGACACATTTGAAAAACAGCCAGTGTTGCCAAGGTTTGTATGATGCTGTATTTATGTAATTCTCTGATGTTTTTTAAATCGAAATCAGATCACAGTGCACATTGGGAGAACAATGTGAAAAATCTACAGAAAGATTTTGTGAAAAAAAAAAAGTCTTTTTAAATGTATCATATAATCCTTATATTGTAATTCAAATTTTCATATTAAACAGCTGAAGTGTATTTTCTTTTCGTATGTGGATAATGTTTGCCAATTTATGATAAGTACTGATAGTTTGCGAATCCTTCTAATAGTCACGAAAATTGCCAACTTGCACCTAACGAGAAAATTTTAGCTTTTCATTTGCATAAAACTACCAAAATGTGTCAAGGTGGTTTCATTAGTATGTACGTACCAGGAATTTAATTAAGTTCATATAAAGTCAAGCTTTTAACCTTAAAAAATTATAAACCCATTCCACTAAAACCATCATTTGATGCATTAAAATAATAACAATTATAATAATAATTAAAAACTTCTCAGGTTAAATGTACTAGTCTTGTTTTCATGTGCTAATGCTTTCCATAATTTTATAGTAGTAATTTTAAAAACCATTATACTATCCGTCTGATAAATGCATATTTGCTTAATAATTGATAAATTATTAAGCAAATATTCATTTAATATAAGCAAATATTCATTCAATATTAATAATTAATCAAGAATCATGCATAATTTATATTTAAAAGTGAGTGATGTGAGTAAATTAATCTATAGCAATCCTGAGGGGCAACTACATCCTTGCATTACAAAGCAGTTCAAAGATAAGTAACTACTGCACAATAGTAATACAGTATCTAACTGCCACCTAACATATCCATGATCGAATCCCGAGGTTGTTTACCATATCTAAAGACTATCAGGAACTTGTACATTGCACTTTCTATCAGTGCTAAAACAACAAAGACCAAAAGCAAGCCTCCTACCTCGGTATTGTCACAAAACTATGTAAAAGCAGTAAATGATAAATGAACAATAATAATACACATTATTTTTTTTTTCAGTTACAAGATTAAAAAAAAAAAAAATTGGGGTGGTATCTTTTGCTTATTTGTGGTGGCCCCTGTTTTCACTAAATGACTGATAATTGTTGCCCAGTGTAGCCTTCTACAGTTTTTTGGTGACAAACATGACGACCTTGTTTTGTGATCGGCTGACCGGGACATTAATATTATCCACGATTCGCTTAATATTTCCCTTGACGCCCTTTTGACTTAATCAAAAAATAATGAAACGATTGTAAATACAAGTAAGACAACCTTTTAGGTTTTTACCCTCACTCACCAAACCTAAAGTGATAGAGCTATTTTATGGAGACTAACAGCTCTATGGGACTCAAGAAGCTATTTACCTGGGAACTGCTTTGGATTTCAGACTAAGTTGGAATAAACAGGCCAACAGGATACTGAATATAGGCAAGATGAGAAACAGACTGCTTAAAAGGCTTACTGGCTTACTGTAAAGTAGGATACTACCCAAGATTTACTCTGTACCACTTATAAATCTTACATTAAGACTGCTGTCAAATATGGTGGTAAACTTCTCATAACTATTTCCAAGTCAACACAGAAGAGGGTTGAAACCACTCAAAATAATGGCCTGAGAATCATCATCGGTGAAGCATTTTCTACTCCTGGCTATGCAATTGCAAACAAATACTGAGCCTCTGATTCGTGGAAGGAAAATAAGTGCTTTGAAGCTGGTCAAGAGCTTGATGAGGTGTGGTGATTTCTGGAACTTGAACAATCCTGCAAGGGACAGGTTAAAATCTCAACCTACTTTTTACATTTGACAAACAAACTGTCTGATATTTTTTATATTCCATCTTTTAACAGACAGCCATTCCTTGAGAGTGTGTTTCTAAGACATTTGAACTTGGCAAATTATACTTTAGACTTGGTTCTGCTGGCCAGTAAAAAATCCTACACTGAGACAGAATTGAGGATGGTTGCTTTGGCCATTATAGGAGAAAGATTTCTAACAACACACCGGTTTGCATGTGTACACTGATGGTTCTGCTTTAGTGCTAATAGTAATGCTACTGCAGGGGTTTATACTTGGCACTTTGTGATTAAATTCTCTAATAAATAATGGTTGCAATATTACTTCAGTGGATCCCAACTCATTGTGGAATCATGGGTAATGAGTTAGTGGACACTGGCCGAGGCAGGATCTCTCCTTCCTCAACCCAATGCTCCTGTTTGCTATGACAATGCTGAGAGAATCCCTGGAGCCAAATGTGGAGCTCATCTTCGAGAAAAGAATGGGGATTCTGTGAAGGGGAAGATTTGGGGTTCCTAATAGAGAATCCCATTCCTTGCAGCCTAAATAATAGACCAATCAGTGCTACTAACTTTAGATTAAAAACTGGACATCACTACCTTGTAGATTTGGTATCACCTACATAGATTTGGTATAACAGACTCTCTATCTTGACCATTACGTGATATTAACCAGATGTGCAGTGACCATTTGAACACTTGTTCTGGACTTAATAATGCAGCATCAGTTAATGCTATCAAAAATCGTATTTTTTTTTAATGTTTCTGAATTGTATTGGGCTGCCCACCACAGACTAATGGCGATCGATCATGCCTAGGTCTGGCAAGGACAAAAAAAAAAAAAAAAAAGATTTAAAATAGCCACCCAGATATATACTGGTTAGGGACGCCTACTGCAGTACCAAAGGGCCCAGGTTTGAATCCCAGAGATGGCAGGGTTTTAACCGTCTATCCTTTCAAATGAGGCAATGGTGGCCACCTATTAGGTGCCTTCACAATAAAATGGCTACCATGTACATCCTCAGGAGTGGTCAATGCTGAACAGGCAAATGCAAATCATTGGATGGAAAAAAAAAAAAAAAAAAAAAAAAGATTTAAAATAAATACTCTAATGAAAAAAACTACATAAATTACAAATAAATAAATAAAATTGTGGCAGGTCTTGTATATAATAAAATACAAATAAAAATTAAGTAGAATCCAATTAATTCAAAATCAAATCTATCAATATCAGGAAGGTTTTTATGCAGACTAACTGAATAAGACCAAACCTTTAGCTTATTTGTACCTTAGAATGCACAACATATAAGAGGTTAAATAATCTTACCTCATTAGAAGTGTAACAGCTCCAGCAACAACTGGTGAAGCAACACTGGTACCAGAGAGTGATCGACAGCCTCCTCTGAAACAAATAAATACAGATATATTGTTTTACAGATGAAACACAAAATATATTCTCTATTATTATTTCTAGTTTTTATAAAGTTTTATAAATTTTTAAAAATTTTTGCAAGCTGCGGGATGACTGATATTAAGTAATGAGTTCAGATAAGCAGAAAGAAGGCTCAGGTGCTGGGCACTTCTTCAGGCGCCTCGGCTGGAAAGCCGCATCCTGTGTCTATCACGTGTAAGGTGGCATATCTTTTACTGGCATATCATGGCATATTACTTAGGAGAGGAAGGTTCCTCGTGATAAGCAGTGGACATGATAATCAATGGATGAGCCTTTCGCAAAAACAGCACGGAGAGTTAGTTGCGTTCATGGCAGGAGCTGCGAGTAAGACCTAAGTGATGCTACTTCTACGTTGGCCGGCGCTCAAATGAAGATGGAATGGCCTAGAGATGGTCGAGGAGGTGTAGGGAGGAGCTACTGGTCACGTGCGCCAATGATTGATCTGTAAAGAAAGTGCACAATCTTGCTTGTCAGGCATTGGATGGGGGGAGGGGCTTAGCTAAAGTTGTAACTTATAGAGGATTTGACTTTAAAGACAGAACTAGGAATAATATACTAGGATAAAATAATAATTAGAGACTAAAATGGGGAGAACGCAATATAGTGAAAGGATCATGTGCTGAGATAATATGTGGCCTAAATAACTATTGTGTATGGTCGTAATAGCGTTGAAGATGGAATGGAATAATAAAAATTGAAGTCCGTGTGAGTGCATATAGATGGCGACACTTATGCGTGTCCTAAAAATACATAGAAGAAGTATTTCGAATACAACTGAATTTTATGAAATATGGTGTGAGAAGTTAATTTATAATTTGGGTTAAAAACTACAATAAATGCCGGAGTACAGCTCCTGGTCTCTTTTTATATTCTTCAATCGTGTAGTCATAGGTCAGCCTGGGAATGGAACTATTGTTGACTTTTTCAATATTGTTGAAAAATTTTTTGCTATTTTTAGCAATACAAATACTGATGCTATCAATATTTAAGTTTCGTTGTGGATGGCTTCGTTTCTGAAGTACCAGGGGCTGTTAGAGATTCTTCTTAGTGTAATGTTCTGGCATTGCTGGATTTTTTGCATATGTGTTTTACAAACATACCGCCAGACGGGACAGGCATAAGTAACGATTGGTCGCAGCATGGATCTGAATACATGAAGTTTGTTATGAATAGATAAAACCGAGTTTCAGGCAATTAGGGGGTTGAGTAATGCTTTAGTTCCCCGAAACTTATTCAGGATATGTGTGATGTGTGGGGCCCATGTGAGTTTTTGGTCTAAAATGACACCAAGGTATTTGACTTGCTTGGCCCAAGGAATGTTGACTTCATACATCTGGAGGGTGATACTCAGGTTGACGATTCTTTTTTTGGTGAAGTAAACAGCTTCGGATTTTTCGACGTTCATTTTAATTTTCCATTTGAGCATCCAGGACTCTAATGCATGGATGTGTTCTTGTAGTGTATGTACGACTGCGGCCATGGACGCATCTTGGTATAGGATCGCAGTATTCGTCTGCATAAAGTGCGAGTGTAGTGCGGGGGGTGGTGTGGGATGTCGTTCGTATAAATTGAAAATAATGTGGGCTAAAGTAAACTTCCTTGAGGTAAACCTGCAAGAGTTACTTTCCGTGTTGAGTGCGTATTGTTATATCGAACGACAAAGTGTCTATCGTAGAGATAGGAATTAATTATGTTTATGATGTAATCTGGGAATCCCAGAGCAGGGTTGCCACTCAAACAGGAGAATGAAATTCCCTGACTTTTCCAGGTTTTCCAGGTGTGTTTCAAGAAAATTACAGTCTATCCGCGTAATGTACGTTGGCTGTGCTAAGAGGTAAATTAATTATGGTATTACTTGTATTGCGTAGCAAATTCACTTAATTATTCAATAAATCCCAGAGGACATTTATTCTTAATTATTCTTGGTATACTTTGTTTGATAATTTTGTTTAGTTTTCCTTTTAACAAAATTTAAGATATATACATTGGATAACAAATGTATGTTTTATTTAATTATTACTTATGATCATCACCAGTTCAAAACGAGGCTAATCCGGTCCTTATAAATCACAACGCAATGCTAAATAGTTAGGTTAGATTTTAGGTAAATTTAATTTGCGTGAGGTATGTTCTTAAAAGGCACCTTAACACTTGAAAACACAAATATAATTATAATAGTTGTTGTTTTCTCCACTGAAGATTGAGATTAGAATCTTCCCAATCTGGAACAAAATAAGGCTTTTTTTTTTTTTTTTGGCAGACATTCTGCAGCTAAACGGAAGAAAGAAATCTATTTTAATAAATTGAGGTATTTTATATTTATTTCGCAGCATACATAATGAAAAAATATGTGCATTAAATTTCGTGATGGTATGTCATCATACTGCTATAATTAATTTCTGGATTATGCCAGAGAAAATTTCCTGAAATTTGGAAATATTATTTACTAATAATAAATAAATTTAGAGGGAAGAAGCAACATTAAATTATATGAATAACATAAAAATAATTACTTAAAAATTGAATTAGAATAATCAACGATATTTTAACGAATATAGTTATATTACATGGCTAGCCTAGATGACTGATTACTATTTTTTTATTTTACTGCAAAATGGCAAGGTATTTATTAAAAAGAAAAAAAAAAAAAAAAAAAAGGTTCAAAAAGATTTTGCGGTAAAATTCTAGTATACGGTAAGGCTTTGGCCCGATTTTGAAAATTGTCGCCAAGACCAAAATGACCCGTTTACTGCGCATCATGATGTCGCCAAATCTCATTATTATTCTAACCAAAGAACGTCTATGTAAAGAAGAAAAGGTTCCATACAAGTAAAATGCTATTACGCCGTTAGAATGCGGAGGACAAATTTGCCAAGGGATTTGGCGACGGAACCTGGCAGCCAGAATTTCCCTCTCCGCGATGTGTACAGGAAATTGAGAAACACGTGTTAAGAAGAAACGCTCTTTGACAAAAAGAAAACTACGAAAATCCATTTTTAAAATTATTGAGAAAAATCCACGCAATAATTTTAAAAACGGATTTTCGTAGTTTTTTTTTTCCCCTGAAAATAACTAATCCATGAATTAATTTACTTGCGCCAAAAAATATTTTCTTTTCCTTTAGAGTTTAACCACTTGCGCTAAGACTAAACTTCACGGTTGCGGTGCCGTGCGCTACAATATAACAAGCGGTAAAGTGTCTCATTTACGCCGCTCCGCATCTGCGAGTGCAATCCAGAGCTGTAACTCGAGAAATAAACAATCTCGTTGTTAGGCGACGTGTGCACCACGTTATTTTCATTTTTGCGATAAATGCTTATCGACGTGCTGTTCACATTGCTCACGGTTTGACACAAAAGCATCTCGACGTGCGTGGCACGTCTTTTTAGCGCAAGTTTTTTAGCGTCGTTAAAGAAATTTTAAACGATATTCATTTTATGAACTCTTGATAACGTGACCTTCGAACTTCGACACCGGTTTCGAGCTTTGGCAACAGATATATCAGACATGCACAGCGTTTTCCCTCTATGATGGAACGGAGCCACGTCTGTTGCAGAGAGGTTTTCCTTCTTTACAATACATATTCTTTGATTCTAACCTCCATGGTACCGTATACTAGAATTAAACCCATTTTGTTTTATACGGAACAGGTACTTTCTTTAGTTCATGCACTGCACATGCGATTCTCGAGAATACTGGAAACCAAAAGTTGCGGGAAAGTGCTTTGCCTTTCTAAAAGACAATCAAATTGGAGCTGGCGAAAATTGGCTCTATGCCAGCTACCCGAATGACACTCACGTGATACATAATTCGCCAAAAAAGTTATCTCTTCCGACGTCGGCGCAAAAATCGCTTTTTTTGGCGGGATCGTTGTATGAACTTCCCTGACTTTTCCAGATTTTGACAAAAATACTTAAATTCCCTGACTTTTCCCTGAATATTTTGGTCAATTTTCGAATTCCCTGAGTTTTCCCGGTTCTCCCGGTTTTCCAGGTAGCGTGGCAACCCTGCCAGAGTGAGTAATTTGTAAGTGAGGCCCTGTAACCATACACAGTCAAAGGCTTTCGAAATATCGAGGAAGAGGAGCTCCTGTGATGAGTCTTTTCTGGAAGCCGTCTGCAATCATCTCAGTAACACGATAGAGTTGGTGCGTGGTGGAGTGTTTACTTCCTGAACCCATACTGCTGAAGGATGAGGATGTTGTTATCTTTAGGAAGTCTTGTACTCTCTTCAAGGATGACGGCTTCAGCAATTTTACTTAAGGTCAATAATAAGCTTATCGGTCTGTATGATGTAGCCAGGGTGGGATTCCTTTCCTGGTTTTAGGAATTGGAACCGATGATGGCTGTTTTCCAATTGGTTGGAAAAGTACTGGCAGGCATAGCATGGCGTTCAGGAGTTTGGTGAACGTACATAGCATTTTTCAACTCCCATCTCCTTTGATCATTTTGTTGCTGATCTTAATCCAAGTTCCGGGGACTTTTCCGTGATTTTTTCTCTTCTCGATATAACTAATAACCTCTGATGGCATGATTAGGGGTGTGTTGTTTGTGTGTGTTTTTGTTTGGAATTGTGTGATGAGTGATGCGACTGTGAGTTCTGTTTGGGGATTAGAAATGTTGTGAGTACGAAATTGAGAAGCATAATAAGCAGAAAGAAATGAACAACTTATTCTGAAAATAAGCACAGTAAGTAACACACACAGGATAATATTTGGAAATAACTCAAAGAGAACACAGATAGTGTTACAAAATGTCCAGCTGCCGTAAGATAGCTCCCCCTAGGGCAAGGCAGGGTTAGGGTTGCCAGAAAATTGCAAGGGAAGGTAGGGTTGCCAGATTTGGCATTAAATTGCTCATTTAGTGACCAAAATTGGCGATATGCCATAGACAGATGGAGAACATTCTAGAATGAATTCTTATCAGTTTGGCTCAGAATGTTCTCCAAAGCAGTAAAAAAAATGCTATATAAACCCTGCCTGTACATGAAGTAACAGTCGATTACGAGTCTATCAAGAGAGAGTGTCTTGTCTATTGAGTCTATAGTCAAGGTGTCTCATTACTGTATCGCTAGTTGGTGCATCGAGAGTGTGCATTGTTGAGGCTATTGAGTGTATAATAAGTTGTAGTGTGAAGAGTCTCGAAAGTATGTAGAGTTCCAAGAATGACTGAACTCAGTTGGGAACTATACTCTTGTGCTTTGCCATGAAGCTGTCTTCAGCATTATAGCCTGAAGCATATGTTGTAGATTATTTCAGTGTGTTTATCATAGTTTTTTGATGACTGTAAACATGTTTTTGGAGCTGTCCTGAGTAATACCAGCTAATAAATTGTGTTTCCATTCAACTGTTATTGCTAATCATTCCAAATCCACAATTCCTCCTTAGTACATCAAATAAATCATAAAGTTTTTCAAATTACTCTAATAGTAAACCTAACTCAAAATTCAGCTAACCACAAAATCTCACAGTTGATTCACAAATTAACTTTCTAGCTTTCTGACTTGTATCTATAATCTGTTAGCATGGGCTCTGGAAACTTGTTGAAAAATTAGTCATAGGATTTCAAAAATGTGTTTTCATGAATCTTTCAGAAGGTTGTTAAGTTAATGGAAATTGCTAAATGTCATCAACTTGGTAGGGCCCATCAGGAATGGAACTGCCTATATCTCACATTCTAATTGAACTGATCTTACAGTTTCAATGTTGATGCACTCAGAACTAAAAAATGTACAATTCAATGTATCAATTAAACGCTTATGTACAAGACATTTGGCCACAAATTAGATTAAAATTTGAAAATATAACACTGATTTTTGTTGTTTGACTTCTGAATTAGTATTTTTTCAGCGTGTTATTGTATCTTAATAAGAAACAATAACAACAACAATTAAAATAAATAAATAAAACACCACTATAGAAACGTAAAATATACATTCAGAAAAGATTCAGATTTTTACAGTATTACAACATACATTATTTACAGCAAAATATATGCACAAAATTTAGAAAACAATGTTTATACTATAAATTCAGCACTTCCTGTAACAATTTATACATTATTTAAAGTTTAATTATGAAAACAGACAAGATAAAAGAAAGAATGGGAATTTATCATACTTAATGCTTGAGCCACGAACAGCTGATCCATAAGTTACAATGTCAGGTTTTACCCTGCCATAACCAGCAGGAAGCTCCTGTAAAACAGCATTTGTTACAATATTATAATTCATATAAGCTTAAGCTACAGAATGTTGTCTTAAAATAAAATACAGAAATTACCAAGAATTTTACAAAATTCTTAACAAATGGCTACAATTACGGAAGGCATCTGAGAGAAACTACACTTATAAATAAAGCTTGAACCAAATCTATGAAATATAAAAGAACAAAATTCTCCTCATTTTCCAGAAAGATAAAAAGTATTCAAACTAAATAATATTAATTTAATAATGAAAAATGTTAAAATGCACTTAAATGTCTATATATTTATTACAGAAGTTTTTAACCACACAGGATTCCCTCCTGTGGGAATTTCATAGGGTCAGGAAGGGGAATTCAGTTAGTCTTTTATTTAGCTGTTAAATATTTAGTCTTACTTTATGAATATAAAAATGGGTATTTCATACAAGTTTGTGGTATTTATCATCTATTATTCTAAACTCTTTCATTTTTTATTTATAAAATACATTAAAAAAATCTAAATTTAAATAAATGTTCATGTATTTGAGTTTGAGAAAGGAACTGGAGGGGAATGATTAGTAATGGGGAAAGGGTACATGGGGCAAAAAAGATTGAGTACCACTGACATATTACATTTTATTGTGATAAAAATAAAATATACAAAGATAAAAAAACTGACAGAAATATAAATTTTTCCATAAAGCTCATAATACATGAAACTATGTTAAAAACTTTTTAGTATTAGATTGTTTTACCGAACACAGTAAAGGATTAATTTACAAGTCAAACAACAATCAGCACTATATTTGAAAACTTTTACAGGACTAGTTTCGATGGTTTTACCAAACCATCATCCTTAGCTGTCAAAACCAATGATGGTTCGGTAAAACCATCGAAACTAGTCCTGTAAAAATTTGCAAATATAGAAAAATTGAAGAATCATAAATGACACTGGGATGATGCACATATGACAAAAATTGCTGGCATAAACATTTTCAAACAAAAGCATTGTAAAGGACCGATAACAACACAAGAGAGGAGAGGGGGGGAACTTTTATTGGAATTACAAGTTTTCAACATGTACAACGTTTCTATCTCCTTGTAACTTATCAGTTTCATGAGCGCCATGATCACCAACTTCACTCCGATGGATTTCTGGTTCTAGGGTTATCTGAAATCTAAGATGTACTCATCAAATCGAAGACATCTGTGAGAACTGAAAGATGACATAAAACCTGAAGTTATACTGATTCCTTCTGCAATTGTTATATTCATTTGCTCAACAATTTCCTACCTAATTGATGTCAACAATTTCCTACATGCAATCCATTGTCATCTACCAAGGTCAGCATGTTGAAAAATCGTAATTTCAATAAAAGTTCCCTCCCTCTTCTTTTTTGGTGTTGTTGTTAGTGCTATACAATGCTTTTCTTTGCAAATGCTTTGTGTCAGCAATTTTCATCATACATATATTGTTCCAATGACATTTTTGGTTTTTCAATGCACTGATCAATTTGCACAGAAAAAAAGTGGTTGTTATTTGAAAATCTTAAAAGTTTTTCTCTGTAACCATAACCAAGAAAGCTCTATTGTTCTAAATCATCACATTCTCGAGTGATTATCTTGAAATAACAATATCTGAAACAATATTTTTCTTTCTACCACATTACTGAGATAAAATTATTAGTTTTAAAAATTTTAATCAAAACAGCTCAAAATATTACCCAAGTAGTCATTCCTCTTGATGAAAAGCGAGCTATTTGATCTTCAAAATTTATACCTCCAACACCAATAACATCCATTTGATCAGCAGGATTATTTAATGTCCTAAAAATTACATAATTTTAGCTAGTAATTCCAAATAACATGTATTATGTTTAGCATACTTCAAGTTTCAAATGTACAGAGTTGCTGTAACTTGCAATCACTGAAGGTTCAAAAAGTCCATTACACTAAGAAATAAGAAACACACACTAGTTGCAAACTAGAAACACACCAAAAGCTGCAAAACATAATGTGGCGAAATTGTCAAATTTTTCTTACCCATACAGAGGGCCATCATTTCCAATAGCAGATACCATGATGACATTATTAGCAGTAAGTTCCCAAACCTATAATAGTTTATGTTAATTAATAATGTTTAAAATTTGTTTTTAATATGTAAAACAAAAAAAAATTAAATAGACATTCATATACATAACAAACAAAAATGCAGAAATGTATCATAGATCAATAATGCAGTTCCTACAATGGGATGCTAGACATTCAGATTGAAATTGCAATAACTGGTAATAAACATGATAATAGTTTCATCATTAAAACAAGTAGATTTTACAATTTTGCAAAGCTTTCACAGGCTGCAGAATCTACATTAAGAACCTTGAAAAAATTTTACATAAAAAGATTACTATTTAAACATTTGTCCATGAACTTTTGTCATTATTCTTTTATTATAAATTTTTGCTTGCTTTCTCCTCTGTTCTAAATGCACTTTATTTGGTATTCTTCTGTTTTCAGAACCGGATTCAGAAATGTATTTGTGTAGCTATGCATGTACCTATGGATGTATATCATACGTACATGTATATAGGCTTACATAAACACATACATCCATAGGCACATACATACATACATACATACATTTCTGAATCCGGTTCTGATAACAGAAATGTACCCTTTATTTAATAAAAAATGATTTTTCATTACATTAACAATGATGGAAACTGAGGGCTGTGTTCATCACTGAGTCCAGTAAATGGCTACCATTTCTCTACAAATATTCTTATAGTCAGACGATCTTTATTTTAGCTGGAGCAAATCAACTGTACTGTTCCATAATGCATGCAAATCCACAACAGCTACAGAAGCAAATCAACTGGCTATATGTCATAATGCATGCAACTCCACAGCAGCTCCCTGACAGTTGTTTTTTTCACCAAGTTATCCGGTGACATACTACAGTCCCCATTATCCCTACTTGATCTCTATGATTTTGTTCTTGCGAGATCACATAAAGGGGAGTGCATCTCAATGAAATCTCACGGATTAAATTTGAAAAAGTGACACAAATGTTTACTGAGGAAATCATTCAAATTCCAATAGACATTTTACAGCGTACTGGTCAAAATATTTCCTTCTGTATGCACAGAAAAATTGAATGAAAAAGAATTTATAGGTTACTCTGAACCTTCTTTATTTATAGTAGATGGCAGCTCAACACAAACCAGTCCATATATTTTAGCCATGTTTAGTTTTTTAAAACCCTCATTTTTCAAAGAAATCTTCCAAAATTTTTTAGGGTATAAAAGGAATTGTTTGAAAAGAAATATCCATGTTATTTTTTTGGCTGCATGCCAATCTCCTTATTTCTATATTAGTTTTAAATTTTACCTTGAACATTTTGTTTAAAATCAAACGGCAAATCGTAGGTGTGCCTAGACCGGGACTCGCCGATTAATCTAAGACTACTGAGAGTCTGTATTCTTTGTTTCTCCTGCATCTCATCTGTCAGTTCATTGACAACAATGCTCGTTTCAGCACTCTTTTTGAAACTCTATTCAGTCAACTGCCCACTTTGGGCACACCCACAGAATTAAACGAATTAAGTGCTATCTTCACAAAATTTTACTTGTGTACTCCTCTAGGCCTAATTAGACTGCCTACCTTATATATATATATATATATATATATATATATATAAACTCCAACTTTAAAAGGTAGCCTCTGGAAAGGGTTAAAGGAACGTTTTGCAGGAATGATGGCCATTTACTGAACACATTCTTCAACACATAAAACCATCCATCTGTTCAGTGGTATGCATTTAAGCAAGTACTCCGTCTATACTGTTCATTATCCTGATTAAATTTCTTTCAACTTTGTATGTTCTCTTCTTATCTTTATTTCAAAATTTTTCCTCTTTTTGAGACAGTTGACATGTGATAACAAGTCACCAACTCGGTGTTCTAATAAGGGGAGCGTAACAAAAGTCCCAAAAGTCAAACCCGCATTCTTCATTTGAATACATATGTTTGGGAATCTGTTTTAAGGTTTAAAACTCTAGTTTGGATTTTTGCAGAGAATTACTTAATGGTGTATTTGTTGCTTAAATTCTTATAAAGGCAGTACTAAAACTATTTAAATATGAAAACAATTGGCCAATTATAAATTAATTAAAAATGAAAGCCCCCCCCAAAAAAAAAACCTGAAATTTATGCTTTTATTTGATATCTGAGAAAATATTTAATTCTTGTGAAAACTCAGAAAAGCCCCCAAAATTCATAAAAATAATTTCAAAAATTGATGCCACAATGAAACTAGTTCCTCTACCAATGAATAGCATCATAAGCTGTATATTCATTATGTTGAATGAGAAACTTAAGAGGAATATGGCAACAATAATCCTGAAATCTCTATTATATAGTCAAGAATCTGTATGTATGTATGCATATTTCTCGCACTGTGAAGAAATGGTGCCACCTAGAACCACCAAATATTAAACACATGTAATTTTAAAATTAAATGTGCGCACCTTTAAACCCAAATTTTAAATCTGCTTTTTATTTATTTTATGCTTCATGCAAATTTACAGAAATTCTGATTAACAAAGTCAGTGATTTAAAAGTAATTATATTGTTATAAATTTTGTATTTACTTAGATATTTTTAGTAGAATTATGATTAAAGTTGTTTTATTTCCCCGTGCAATACAGAGTGCGAGACATTTTTAAGAGAAAGCTATGCTGGTAAAGTAAAAGTACAAGAGCACATGCATTTAACATTGAATAAAAGTTTATCTCCATAACTTATATTTAATTTGAATAAATATAATTGACTACTATGTTAGCTGTGACCATAATTCTACTCTTTTTGCTTTCCAGAAATTGCTAGGACTGTCTCACGCAGCTTAGTTAAAAAGCTATAAAAGCTGGAGAGAAACATCTCAGCTCAGTGGTTGTTTAGATTGCTGTTGATTGTAGCGAATTTGTGGTGAAATCGGATTAGCTTTCTTTTCGCCTTGGATTACGTTCTATTCAACATTTTAGTAGTTTAAAATATAGCTACTGTTTATATTGTGTGACATCGTACGAGTATCTCTGAGGAATAATCCAGCGTTTTGTTATATTTCTTGGGATTAGAATAAATTTTATTAACTTTTTATTGGACTTGTGCATTCAATCTATTACACACCTGTAGGCACGCAATAATATTGCCACTCAAAAAAGCATAAAATATTTGTGTTTCAAATTAAATCAGAAAACTCAACAATTTAAAAGAAATGTTGCCACTTCCAAAGTATAAGATATTTGTCTTTGTAATTTAATCAACAAACTCCGTGATTAACAAGAAGTGTGTTGCCACTGCCCAAAATAAAACATTTTGGGTTTCTAGGTGTCAGTGAGTTGCCATTCACCAAAGCATAACATATTTTATTTTCCTTTCAAATTTACTTTGTTTAATATTGATTAATAAACTGAGCAATTTAAAGCAATAAATGTAATTAATTATCTTTGTTACAAAATTATATATTTTTTCTATTTTATAATAACTATTATAGGTTGCTTGGCATGTAAGTGGCTAGTTACTTAAAAAAGACAGTACATTGGCTCACAATACATGAAAAATTTAAAAAATTTTTTTTTAAAAACTGCATGCAGTTACAAACCTTATCTACAAAAGGATGATCCATGAAATCTGGGCCTCCTATACTTAAATTCAGAACATTAATCTTCTTCAAAATAGCATAATTAAAAGCGTCTAGAAACCAGGATGTATATGATACCTATGAAGAATTTTGAATAATTTATGATTAATTAGGTATCTTCATATAATAACAGGAATTATGAATGAATTTTGTTTCACATGCATTTCAAATAATTGCAAAGTAATGAACAACAAAACATTAAAAGCTTGTCCAACATTCAATAAAACAAAATAAGTAAATTTAAAAATTACCTGGTTATTAGTAAATACTCTGTAAATATGAAGTTCTGAGTCAGGGGCAAAACCCAAGCATTCTCGATTACTGGCAATCACACCTGCAACAAATGTTCCATGGCCAAGTCCTGAAAATTTTAAAATATTGATTTAAAAAGCAAAACAAAAATCCTATCAAATGCACACAATTTAAAATGAATAAAAAGGTAATTATTAACAATCATTTTGCAGTTTAAACAAATTGTGCCCTTTAAATATATAAAAATAATGTCAACACATAGTTCTATGCAGATTAACTTATTCATTTCATAACTGCTCAGAGAGAATTTAAAATAACTTTTACTATTTTTGCTACTGTCAAACTGAAATGCCTTATTATTTAAATATATTTCATACATTTCATGAGGTAAGTCTCTAGAAAAGCAATTTCAGATTGACTGTGATTCAAATATTAAAGACCAGAAGGGAGATCATAAAGCTCAATTTTACAAATAATAACTTTTGAGTTTCACTTAAGTTACAAAGAATAAAAGTAATAATTTAAAAATATATAATGAAATTCTGTGAATTCTATTATATCTCAGTTATGGATGTGCTTATTTATCATTAGGCATCAAGGATCTCAGGTGATGTCACCAAACAAGGGGTTCAAATGGTTAGTTATAAAAAGTAAAGGAATTTTATTTTCATTCAAATCAGGATGGTAGGACAGAAGAGAAATCCCTTAATACTTATTTTAAATTAATTATAACAGCTGTACAGTTTGTGAAATTTTAAATCACCACGCAAATTTTATTTTGCTTAAAATACCATTTTTACTTGATTTTTTGCAAAACAAAGTTAGATAGGAAAATGAGTTTAGTCCATAACACTTTATTAAAAGAACCCCATTATTTGAATTACAGCTATTCTACATTCTTTTCCATCGATTTATAAATTTATTGAATATCTTGTAGGAAACTTATATATTTTGTAAAGCGTCATTTTCAATTTTGGCACTTTGATTTTTGAAAATCTGAAATGAAATACTTATATTTATAGACTAGTTTTGATAATATTAATATTGATTAAGCTTTTATTCAGTATTGTAAAACATGCCTCAAATATAATTTATGCATAATTATAATACAAAAATTTATTATCTGATAATTAAATAAAATGTTAAAAACTTTTCAGATAACTTCAATCATTGAATAATTTCATTATATTTTTCAGTTTGCAATCAAAAAGCTGTAACAATTAAGTTTGGGATTATTTAAATTCTCTTGTAGTTTCTATCAAATAATTAATAGAAAGTAAAGAGAATATCAGTATCCTATATAATAATACTAATTCATACTAATGGAAAGTTGCAGTTATTTAACATTTGACAATAACTTCTTCAGTTTACATCTTGAAATAATTCTATTACTAATAATTATTATTAACTTATTAATTTATTAAGCTATTAAAACATATGTTATAATTAAATATTTCAACATAATATCACTGCATATGATAAAAATACGTCTTTACAAAAGTATTCAGTAAAATAAAACTAAAGTTTAAAAAGAGAACTAGATTCATAATCATGTTGCTTGCAATCACATAAAATATGATGAAATCTATTGTTCTAAATGTTTCAAATAAAATATAAGTTATTATTCTTCTTATTCTGCATTGCAGAAACAATGAAACACATAATAAATATTAAGAATTGTATCCATAATCTATGGTCAAAATTAAATTTCATGAATAAAGGCAGCATTACACAAAAACAAGAATTTCTAAAAATTTTTATTAAAGGAAATAATATTTCATTTCTTATTTTAGTTAATTAAGGGTCATAGAATTTTCAGATTTTATAAATCAATATTAATATAGCATATATGAAAAATGTAAAGGAGTAATTTTGTTAACTTTTTATATATAGTTAAAATTTTCACAGTGCTGACACCTAATCAATATGCAGATGTCTAATTAGGTCAGTAGTTTTTCAGAGACACTTATCTTAAAATAAACAAATAACTTCACATCAGTGAGACTGTATAGTGGAATTATATTTTTTGAACTTCTGATTTACCAACAACAGGTTTTCACAAATTATCATTTAAGTTTTAACCCTCAGACTGCTCAATTTGTGGACCAAAATCTCTTCAAAAATTGTGTATTTTTTATTTTGAATATTTTAAATTTATATATATTGGAGAATTGAAAAATGCATTTTTTCTTTTTAGAAAATATTTTTTATATAGATTTTTATCATGAGAACTAAGTTGCCAGAAAAACCAATTTCAGATGTTATCTCCAAAAAAAAAAATATTTTTTAATAAATTTCAGTTGAATTACAGTTAATTTCTATTCATTGGATACGATAAAAAAAGTAAAATTTAAGAAAATTTAATGCACTATGGAAAAAATAGCTTAAAAACGCAGTTTAGTATGATAGAGTTCAAGTTTATTGAATCATGGTCAGAGTCATCGTTATTTGAGGAGCAGTTCGAAAAATCTATATCACTATCATAATCGCTATCAAAACTAAAATCGCTTTTAGAATCTAATAAGTCATCACGAATATACTCTCTGTCAATCGCTGAACATTTTCTAGCAGCTATTTCTGTAAGAAAAAAGTGGCAAAAAGCGAAGTTTGAGAGGTAATACCACGTGCCTTCAAATGCCGCAAGTTAGTGGACAACTAATGATATCTGTTGGCCAAAAAGGAAAGTAAATGTCTAATACTGTATATAATTTATTTCAATGGGTTAAAAAAAGGGGGGCATGCACTCCTCAATAAAAGGAGAAAAACACATGCCCGCAGAAATCGCGGGATGAGCAGATTTTGTGACATTTGAGTTGCCCGTGGAAATCGCGGGATGAGCAGCCAGAGGGTTAAAAAAGTTTAATGCTCTCCCCCCCCAAATTTCCAATTTTACATGGTATTTTTTCAGTTCATACAAGTCAAAAGAAATCATGAGAATCATAAATGAAAACTTTATCACTGGCAAACCCACATACAGTTTATACTTTGAGTTTTTGCAGCTAATTATCATAAAGTATGGACAGTGCAAAAGATATTTGATATATCTAGTTAATGCAATAACTGTCAACCTGGAGAGGAGAAATTCTTATCCTTCCATCAGAGTAAGCTTTCAGTACTTCTGTTACGCATGCCTCTATTTATTTATAAAAATGAAAAATCATAATAATTTAACATGAAATAACCTTGTTCTTGAAGTATACCTACTCTTTAAATTAGAAAGAAAAACATAATTTTTGTAATTATACACCATTATTCTAAAATAATATAATTAGATCACAAAAAAGTAAAAACTACAATTACCATCATCAAGTGTTTTTTCATTTGTCCAGTTTGTCCTCTCTTTGATTTTTTTAAAATGCGGATGATTTTTTACCAGACCTGTATCAAAAACAGCAACTTTGACTCCAGCTCCTATAAAGGAATGTTTTTAAAAGTTACACTTTGAAAAACTTAACTACATGCACAGTAAAAATATTAAAGTTTAAATCAACATAAGTGATTTGATTAATTAAACATAACATAACAACTAAAATTACATAAACAATAAATTGTAACAGAAATTTATGTTTTTGCATTTATTAACTGCACTTAGAAAATTTGAGAACATCACTACATATAATATACATTTGTTAATACATTTTGAAGGCAATGGGTTGTTTGGCTGGTTACAAAATAGAAATAATGCTAACCAAATATTAATTCCAAATAAGTTATCAGATTAAGATTATACTATTTATAAATCCAACAGTTTGGAAATAACAAATATAACCTGAATTTGTCTTGATAAAAGCCAGAAATCACAAAAGAGTGATACCATGAATACTAAATAACTTCACTGGAAACTGTAAATGATTTATAAACAGCATAATGAATATGTGTATATGTAATCATCTAAGCATTTATACTTTGCAAAAAAAAGGGGGGGGGAACAGTTCTATATCTCCCGTTCTACTGGGCCAATTGAAGAAATTCAACTTGCATTTTTCATGTCTAGAAAGTGCGACTTAGGATATGTATTAGATTTATATATAACATCATTCTAATATAGGTATTTTGACACAAAATCGAACTTTTTCTGAAATGACATGCCAATTTTTTTCCATATTTCGATTCAAAGACTCAAATTATGCCAAACTGCCAAGTTTTGTACAAATAGCACAAATAGTTTTTAAAAAATCTCAAAATTTTAGCTCCTCAGTGTTAATTGAATTTGATAATACCTCCCTCTTTTTTTTTTTTTTTTTTTGACAAGACCGCATTTGTTGAGATGCTTGGCCAGATAAGCATGTCCGGTAACAATTTGAATTACCTGGCGTTAGTTCTACTAAGGTGTATGATTTTACCTGATAAGTTAAGTGCACTGAACACCAATTTAGAATGAACACAGTCGATGCCTACAACTGTGAAAGGATTACTTTGGACTACACGATCTCTTGGTAACTGACCCGTTAACTGTTTGGCAGGTTTCCCTGTAAACTTTTTAACACACCAGGCAAGTGTTAATAACTTTCTTTGCTAATTGTCTTCCTTTAGGTATCCAAAATTTTTTCTGACTTTGGACAATGTTGCCATGACTCCTGAATGGAATACTTCTATGTGTTCACAAAATATCACTAATTCAATGAACTTCGTCTTCAGCAGTATAATGGGATGTTTTTCATCAACTATTAATTCTGCTTGTTCCAAACGACCTCTGACAAGCAAAATACCTCTACTGCCCAGATATGGTGCTAAACTGCAAAGCTTCGAATCTGGTGTTATTAGATTATTCCTCTCTAGTTGTTGAATATCTGAAAAATAATTCTCTCTCTGGACTTGTTTTATCCAGTACTCCTTAATTTCTTGGATCTCTAATACAGTAAGAGGACCTTCTTCACAGGTACATTTTCTTATCTTGGCAACAAACTGCTTTACCCAAGCTGTAACTCTCAACAATTTTTCCAGACTGCTAAATTTGGTAATGCTTAACACAGTTTCTCCTTCAGGAACCGTCACCTGAACATAAGTGCTTAAACATTCCAAATTTTGAATATTAGTTTCTACTTTAAACTTCTGTTCAGGCCATTGATCTTCAGAATTTTTCAACCATGATGGGACATGCCATCAATTACTATCTTTCACCAATGCACTTGCTGTTTCACCACGAGTTAATTTATCTGCTGGGTTTTCCGACCCTGGACAATATTTCCACTTATCAGGCAAAGTACAGTCTTGCATTTGTGCAACTCTATTTGACACAAACTACTTCCACTCACGTGCTGACCCCTTTATCTACCACAAGCAAATTTCTGAGTTCGTCCACAGAACTAATTTATGTACCAAATCCTGAAACATTTTCAATAAATATTTCCCTAACCTAGCTGCAACTACAGCCCCCATCAATTCCAACCTAAGGAGGGACAACTTTTTTAATGGAGCTCTCCTACTCTTTGACATCATAAACTACATATATACCTCTCCTCTCTCATTCTTATATCTTAAATATGCCATCGCTCCATATGCCACTACTGGAGCATCACTGAAAATATGAATTTCAACCGAATGACCTTTACTTAGAACTTCTGTAAAGTAGTACCTCTCTATTTTCAATGCGTTTAATTCCTCAATTTCAGCACACCACTTTATCCATTTGCACCGTAACTCCTTTGGCAACTCTGAATCCCACTCCAAACCTCTCTCCCATATTTCCAGCATAAGTTTCTTAATTCGCACCACAAATGGAGAAATAAATCCGAATGGGTCAAACACCTTAACTGCTGTGCTTAACACTGACCTTTTACTATTTCTCAACGATTCTAAAATACTCAACAATGATGTCACATCTACTCTCAAACCATCCTCTTCTAAGTTCCACACCAAGCCTAACACTTTCAACTTACTATCTCTCTCAAACCTACTTTCTTCACACGACCCTTTCTGAACCCACAAGTCATACAACTCTTTAGAATTAGTGTTTAGCTTTCTCAAATTGAAACTCGCATCTTTCAAAACAGATACCGCCTCTGATGAAAGACTGAAAGCTGACTCTACACTTTCTCCTCCATAACACAAATCATCTGCATACAGTGAGCTATTTAACATCTCGACACAGTTTTTGTTTGTTTCTGCATATTTCTTTAAATGATATTTGATCGTTGCACTCAATTAAAATGGTGAAGAATTGCATCCAAATAATACTCTATTCATTTGCATACTTTTAAATTCCTTACTGTCATTATCCGGATACCACAGAAATTTTAAATATTGTCTATCTTACCTTGCTATCCCAATCATCAAAAATGCCTTTTTTATGTCACCGCATAATCCTATTTTAAATTTTCAAAAAGCAAGAATGATATCCAAAATATTTGGATTTAGGTTTGGGCCCTTTTCTGAGCAATCGTTTAACGATAGCTTGCCTCTTTCGCAACTGCTGCAATTAAATACCATTCGAACTTGAGTGTTTTTTTTCTTTCCAGACAACTGCTCGGAATGGCATAAAGTATCCCTCTCTCGTATCCCCACATTCTTGAATAATGTTGTTTTGTGTCGGAAATTTAATTATTTCCATAAACTTACTTTTTAACTCTCGTTCGAACTGCCTTTTTGTCAAATCAAAATTATTTTCCAAATGCTCCGGACTTCTATTTCACAACAAGCGAGCCTCGTACCCTGCCCCCCCCATCTACATATTTCAAATACTCTTCAAATTGTTTAATTATTCCCTCATTGCCAGAACTCCTTTCTGATGCGCTCTCAGAAATTCCTAGACTTTCAATCTCCCAAAGCTAACGAATCTGTTCTGATATTTTCAATTCTTCCGCATCAATTTGTATCAATAAACCAGTGGAGTCTGACCCTAAACCTAGCTTTTTAACATAAACATAATGTAACAACAGTGGCACTTCCTTCTTATGAATAGAAGGAAAAGAGCTTAGGCAATGTTGCCCATTGTTCTTCCACCATTTGATCATTTAAGACAAAGATTTTAAATGGTAATTCCCGTGAAAGGTAAATAATAAATAAGTAGATAAGATCCCAAACTGACACCAAATATATAGTATCAGCAAAAGATCCCATCCCTAAATTCAGGGTGTTGGTTAAATCGTTAAAACTTCCAATTGGATGAAGAGTCAATTCAATCCCTCCCAAACCACCAAACACAAACTCTTGACCAAACAAGGGTGCGATGGCGAGTCTTAAAAAAAATTAATTAAATAAGGAGGACAGAGGTACTTTCTTAAGCCAAGTGGCCAGGTGGTGTATAAGGATTGATATCTATTTCCAAATTATATTCCAAAACACAGCTATGTGAGGGAGATCCCTGCATAGGATCTTTTATGCAAAGAAAAAAAAAAAAAAAAAAAGAAAAAAGAAAAGAAAAAAAAAAGGGGGGGGACTTGCAGGGCATCTCAACAATGCTTGTTTCTTGTGGTTTCAAATTCACCTTACCTGTAGGTGTTTAGTATACATCAGGAACCCTATTATGACAGATAGCGCTTTGAATAGAAGGCCCTGATCGAAGCTGATATAGGGAAACCCAAGGAATTCGTTTCTAGAGACAGAAAACACCAGACATTGTCCCAGGAAGTGAAAAGGTGTTTCCTCTTCTTCTCCACAAGCTGGGCAGAGAGGAGATTCGACAAGACCGCATTTGTTGAGATGCTTGGCCAGATAAGCATGTCCGGTAACAATTTGAATTACCTGGCATTAGTTCTACTAAGGTGTATGAGTTTACCTGATAAGTTAAGTGCACTGAACACCAATTTAGAATGAACACAGTCTGGTAGTTTAGACCATATATCATCATGTTTTCCTTTATCCAGCTTCTTACTTCTTTTTTAACAGTTTTGATATGAAACTGGGTAAAGTGGTTCTGAGCCAGACATGGGTAGTTGCAAAGCATCTTCAGCTACTTTATCAGCTAGTTCATTTCCAGCAAAATCACAATAACCAGGGACCCAAACTAAACTAATGGTGTTATGGGCCTGTTATGGGGGGGGGGCACGTCGCAGCGTGCAATGAACTGGAAGTTGATCTGTCAGCACTATCCTTACCTTCAGGGCAGATGTTTTTATTTTATTCAGCTTATAATTCCTTGGTAAATGTAGTATTTCATCTCGATGTATTCCGTCTTTGATATGAGTTAAATCAAATTCCTCATCATTATAAATATCACGAGTACACATCAAATAGTTTTCTGGTTGCAATTTTCTAATTTTGACTATGCGTAATGTATGCTTTATGCATGCGTGCGTTGAAAGAAATGTTTAATAAAGTAAACAAATAAATATTAAGTTTTTTTTTTGTAAATTTTGATGCCCTTTAGGTCATAATTGCTCTTTATTTCATAAATTACGGTTTAATATTTTTAATGTTATAATTTCTGCATGCCATCTTACCAGATTTAACCTGATAATCTATAATCCGGA